CCTTGTCAAGGACTTCAGCATGAGTTCCTTTCCTAGTTGTGCACAGACAGCTCTAGCCTTGTCCTTTGGGTCTGCCTCCAGGACAGTAATGTCCTGTCCTCTACGTCATCCTCTTCCTTTTCATTGTCTAGTCCCTCCATGGGCCTTGACCCTTGTAGATCTCACGATTCTAAATTGTGTTGTCCCATCTCTTCCACTAGGTTCTACTGAAGATTTTTTTGGAGTGTTTTTAAGCTAAAAGTGTTATAATATGTTTATTGTTGACTTTGTAAGACCCTTAATTATATAAACAAACCAAAAAAATACATTAAACTAAAAAATACATCAGGATAGCCAGTCACTAAGTGTCTTCAAATCATGAGAATGTAGCATGTCATACGGATGTCAGCAGTTGAGTGTGGAGACCAGGCAGCTCCTCCCTTTGCTCCTCAGCACATCAGGAGCTTAGCACAGAAGAGTGAGTCATTACCAAGGAAGAACCTAATGTTGCAGGAATATACACCATAAATGTAAAGAATTTGAGGTCCAGCTTTCTAATTTGGCATGTGCACCCAGTCAGCAAGTATCTTAGATAGAACTTGGACATGGGCTCTTAATCACTGTGTTCTAAACCACCTTAATCAGAACTGAAGTGGAGTCTTTTCTCTTTAACACAGTTTGATAGTCCCTTTCTCTTTGGGATGGGCTGGACCAAGAAAACCCAGTTCATTCCTCTCCCTGTCCTTCCCTGTCCCTAAGGGCAGTCTCCTTTCTACTTCCAGGTCAATTCCTAATAGCAGACAACTGTGGACCACTGAAACGTGTGGCTCTTCAGACAATCCCAGATCACACACCTACTGTCCAAGCTGATATTAAGCTGTAATGAGCATCACTCTACATATGCCTCTCTCATATTTGGGCTAATGATTTTGAGGTAGAAATCAAGAAGAAGAATTGCTGGATCAAAAGATATGACATTTTCTTAGCTTAATTCGTATTGCCAAATTGTTCTCAAAAGAATCATGCCAATTTAAAATGCCACGTTAATATAACATTGAAATTATAATATTGTACTTTTAACATCCATAATACTTAATTATAATATTGATAATTGATTTAATTATATTTGTAACATTAAATTTAAAAATATATGTATAATTATAACAATTTTAACAGCAGGGATGAGATATGAATGTATTAGGCGAAAGATGTGGTATTATATATCTTTGTGATCTATATATGTAATATATATATATTCCCTTCATAGTTTGGGGAATTTTTTTTTTTTTGACAGAACAGGGGATTGAACTCAGGGCCTCATGCATGTAAAGTGCTCTATCGCTTAAGCCATGCCCTGGTCTTTCAAATAGGGTCTTGCACTCTTGCCATAGCAATCCTTCTTTCTACCTTTGTCTCTGGAGTAGCTAGGATTATAGACATGCACCACCATGCCAAGCCTTCCCCCCCTCACATTTTTTTTTTGCGGTGCTGGGACTTCAGGACCTTCCCCTTGAGTTACTCCCCCAACCCTATTTTTATAAAGGGTTTTTTGAGATAGGGTCTTGCAAACTATTTGCCCGGGCTGGCTTCGAACCAAGATCCTCTTGATCTCTGCCTCCTAAGTAGGTAGGATTACAGGCGTGAGCCACTGGTGCCTGGCTCCCCCTTCACATTTTTTAAGTTTGTTTTTCTTTTCTTATAAGTGATGTCTTCTGCCATTCGAACATGCATTTGCATAACTCATGATATTCCTACTGGTGACTGAGAAGCTCACGCAGTGTAGCTCACGTTAATCAAATGCAAAGCTTTCTTATACTTTTGTATTAAAAACAAGCACAGTTTGTCAGTGATTTCCGAATGACCACAGTTGGGCAAGTGCTTTGTAAATGTTCTCCATTTTCAAAGAAGGAAAATGAGGACTCCGCACATTCGGACCGTGCTGTCACTCTTTGACTACAGATCATTCACCCTTGCTCACACTGCACCGCTCCTCACCTCTCTTCTTCTTTGTGCCAGAAGAGCAGCAATCTGACCTTTGGCGTTACCACCCTCTCCCTGAGGCAAGCTTTCTCCTTGTCCCTGGGGCATCTCAGAGGCTCTGTCTTGAACTTCTGTGACCTCACAGGGTCGCCTTGCGGGAGGGTTTGGATTCCGCGTCTCCTCCAATCCTCAAGGCCAGCTTGGTACCTAGGACATGACAGGGCTCTGTTACCACTGACCTCAAGGGACACTATCTCCTGGAGATGTCTCCTCTTGACTACACCCAGCCTGAAACTAGTTACCCAGGGGGCTGTGCCTCGCAGTCTCAAGGAAGTCTTCACCTTTCCACGTCCTTACTCCGTGCTTGTCCTGACCCGACTTGCACTAGACTATGACCTCTCCTGTTTTCTTTATTTTTCTTCTTCCTTATTTTTTTCTGGTGCTGGGGATTGAACCGAGGGTCTTGCACATGCAAGGCAGGGGCTCTACCTCTTAAACTACACCCATAACCTTGTCCTATTTGCTAACAGAGCTATGTTTCTAATCCCCATTTAACAGTCCTTACACCCTCTGCTCTAGTTTGTCAAACTCTGCTTTTAAAACATTCAAACCTGTGCTTTATAGAAACAGAGACAACTTTTAGTGCACCCTGCCTCTTGTTCACAGTGTATTACGAGTTCCTTTCTACATTCCACATGCAAAACCTCTACACCCACATCCCACTCCTGTCATGAAGGTAGGGCTGGAGGAAAGGCAGACAGTGTGTGCTCCCTCTTTCCAAATGAAGTGGGGCGCTGGCTCTCCAGTGCCACCTAAAATGACATGGTTACACCTCACTTTGTTCTCTTCCTCCCATTTTCTTCTTTTATTGTTTTTATAGTTGTGCTGGGTGGGGTACATTGTGGCATTTACAAAAGTTCTTACAGTATATCAAATATATCACACTTGAATTCACCCCCTCCATCATTTTCCTTTATTCCCCCTCCCCATATCTCATTTTGTTATATCTTTTTTTTTTTTGGCAGTACTGGGATTTGAACTCAGGGCCTACAACTGAGCCACTCTACCAGACCTTTATTTTTGTGATGGGTTTTTTTCAAGATAGTATCTCATGAACTATTTGCCTAGGCTGGCTTTGAGGCACAATCTTTCTGATCTCTCCCTTCTGAGTAGCTAGGATTATAGGGGTGAGCCACTGGTACCTAGCTTTTTTTGTTTTCGAGATGGAGTCTTGACTGTAACCAAGGCTGGCATCAAACTTTCAATCCTCCTACCTCAACCTTCCAAGTGCTGGAATTACAGGCACAAAAGCCACATGCCTGGCTTTATCTCACACTGGATTTTGGGCACACACACACACAGGAATTTGGACAAGGCTTAGCTGGATGATTCTTCTGTTCTACTGACATTGATAGAGATAACTTGGTGCTGGTCATCTGGAAGTGGGTCCAAGATAACTGCATTTGAATGTCTGGTGCCTTGTGGGGACAGATGGAACTGTCTATACAAGGCCTCTCTAGCATGACAGCCTTGGGGACATTTGATTTCTTATGTGGTGATGCGGGACTCCAAGAGCAAGTGTTCACTGAATAAGGAAGCAGCTGCAAGGACTTTTGTAATCAGTCTTGGAAGTCAGATGGCATCAGTTCTGCCTTGTTCTATTTTCTACAGCATTCACAAGCCTGCCAGATGCAAGGGGAAACGATGGGGACCTCACTGTTTGGGAGGGTGAAGTTGATGAATTTGTAGTTCTGTTTCAAAGACCATTTCAGACAGAAACACTGTGAAGGCTTCAGGTGTGGGTTCAGGTGAGAGCTGGGGATTAACCAGTTGAAGCAGAGTTCACTGGAGTCAGCAAGGATCAATGCCCCTCCTGTTCATTTTAGTGTACTGTGCTGAATGTTCTCAATCCCCGCCTAGCCATCACCTCGCAACACAATGAGTCCATCATCAATGGACTCCCTAAGGTCACTGAGAAATGAGAGCCAAAGTCAATGGGCTTTCCTTTGCTTAGGTCCCCTTAGCATTTATTCCAAACTTGACACTGGTCAAACCCAGCCATTGTTTGATCATGTTCTGAAATACTAAGGCTGCCCTCGCTGTACCATTGACAAGCCTTTCTTCCCAGACCATAACTCCGGGTGTCCTATGGTTTGGCCCTTGTCCCCTTTCCCAGAGCCATTGTTCTCGCTGCCATGTGAAGGGTGCTGTCTTCCATCAAACCTATATTGCCGACTCCCACAAGTTACCCTCTTGTGTCCCTTCCACTGCCCCCCTAAGAACTGTAATTAAAGGAGCAAAGGAATCTCATTTTGTACAGGCTGTCAGTTTACTACCTGCTCTCTAGTCTGTGCATAATCCCACTTGACATCTCCCTACAAAAAGTGATCACAGGATGCACAATTTCTTTTGAAAGTTCAGAGACCTTTTGTTTTTTGCATAGGATTTTTTTCCAGTTTGAGTTTGGTGGTTGGGAAGGAATGGGGAGGAAAGGAGAGGAGACGCTCAGCAGCGGACAGGAAAGGGAAGCAGAGAAGGCTGCGCGGTGACTGCGCGGCGCCTGGGGAGTTAGAATGGGACCCGCGCCCCATTCTTGCCTCAAGATCTCGGGACCGGACTTTTTACCAGGACACCGAGACCGTGCTCGTCTCGGGCATTACTATCCCCCCGAAGGATGATGAACTCCAGGGCGCCCTCCTTACCGAGTGGGGATGGGTGGGTGGCACCGGCACCCCAGGGCACGCCCCTGCCACTTCCCTCGCCCGGGTCTCCTGAGACCTCGCGTGGCACCGCCGGGCTATATAGGTCACCGCAGACGGCAGGGGCGCAGCGGGTCCTCGGGCACCGGCGTGGGGAGGACACCCGGCCACACCCGGCCGCCACCACTGCGCCCCAAGGGCACCGCCAGGTGGCCGTCCCTGAGGTCGGGGAGAGCGGGTCCCCTGCCCGGCCCGCAGGAGCGAGAGGGGGGAGACGAGCCTCACCTCCAGGGCTGCCACCTTGGGCTCTCGCACCCGCGCCCCGCTGGGCCCTGAGTGAAGATGGTGAGCGCCACAGCCTCGGAAGTGCCCCCGACCACGGGGGTCAAGATCTTCTCGGCCGGAGTGGCCGCCTGCCTGGCGGATGTGATCACCTTCCCACTGGACACCGCCAAAGTCAGGCTACAGGTAGCAGCCAGATGGGGATGGCGCGGCTCGGGCAGAGAGGGGACATCGCTTGTGTTGTGTGCGGCCCTTTGGTGTAACTACCCTTCCTGGGAGAATGCTTTAGGATGGGAAGGTGGAGCTTTTCCGGGACTAGCTGAAGAACCACAAGGACTAGGGATGGTGGGCTGACCACGACTGCCACCCAACCCTCCAAAGGCTAGGGCGCACTAAGAGGGCTGCGAACCAGGTGCGTTCCCCCTCCCAGTTCTTCCAGGCACTTTCCAGGCCTGCTGCCTTGGGGTCTAGAAAGCTGCGGGGTGATTAAATGTGCATTGTAGGCAGCCCTGCTTGGCTATGTCTGTATATAGACATATATGCACACACCAAATATGGGGGTGACTGGGGAAGAGGTTGCTGAGAAGGGAGGAGAAACTAGGAGCCCACTGGGGACAGGACAGCCTCGGCTTAGGGCTTCTCCATCACCGACCTCCAGATGCCATTCTGATTTTTCCTCACCACTTCCCTCTTCACTGCCTTTTCTCATTTCCAGATACAAGGGGAAAGCCAGATATCCAGTGGCATTAGGTACAAAGGCGTCCTGGGAACCATCACCACTCTGGCGAAAACAGAAGGGTCTATGAAGCTGTACAGCGGGCTGCCTGCTGGCATCCAGAGGCAAATAAGCTTCGCCTCCCTCAGGATCGGCCTGTATGACACAGTCCAGGAGTACTTCACATCAGAGGAAGGAAGTAAGCCCAGCGTTTCCCGGGAGGCCCAGATGCACCCGGGTTTGGTTCTGTTAAGTGCTGAGGGACTGGGACTGTAGCTCAGAAGTAGAGCGCTTGCCTAGCATGGGAGAGGCCCTGGCTTCTGTCCCTGCACCAAAAAAAGGTACCACACAGGATCACAGGGTAGTGGCCTTCATAACAGAATGGCAAGGAAACGTCAATACTGAATTGTCTCCCTTCCCCAAATATGAGTTCATTGCTCCTAGAAAGAAAAAGGACAAAAAAGAAAGTACGCACGTTGATCTTGTTTAACCTGAGAGTTTATATGGTAAAAATCACCCAGTCATTTATGGGAGTTTTGTGTCTAATTTAGGAGTCCATCTAGAGACTGTGAATGGAGTGCCACAAGTGTTTGGCAGTATTCCTTTTTCCTTATTAGCAGCACAGGGCCTCACGCTTGCTAGGCAGGCTCTATATCACTTAAGCTACTCTGCCAGCACTTTTTTGTGATGGGTTATTTTCAAGATAGGGTCTTGCAAACTATATTTGCTCAGGCTAGCTTTGAACCATGATCCTCCTGACCTCTGCCTTCTGAGTAGCTAGAATTACAGGCGTGAGTCACAGGCACCCACAATATTATTTTACTGCATACAACAACCCTGTGAGGGTGATCTTATCGTCCCTGTTTTACAGATTAGGAGACAGAATAGACTGAGGAAGCCCTTATGAATACAGGTTATTGCATCATAACTTTGTATTTCACTCTCTGGTTTTATTAAGTGATTTCTGTCTGAAGTAACAGAAGATAATTTTTCAAGATTATGACAAGAATCACTTTCTTAGCTTTTTCCTCTCTTTGTCCTTCATATGTGGTAGGCTAATGCTGCCTGATGATATTAAGGCAATGTGTCCATTGGGTTTTTCTGAAGACCATTAAGTCCAAGATTTAGCATTGCCATTGATAGGAAGAAGACCAAGCATCACTGGTGACAGGGCCCCCTGGAAGTCAGGAAATGTGAGACAGACAGTTGGACATGGGAAGAACCAAGCTGGACAGTGGGAAGGATCAAGCCACTATGCATTGCTTTCTTCTCCCTAGAAAGCTTTCTTTTTTATATAAAAAAAAATTTCAGATAACTGACCTTTGCTATCCCACCTATAATTTAATACATCCTCAGTACACGATAAACACATGCACAAACATTAGGGAAGAAGAAAAGATACAAAAAATGCTAACCACTAAAAGTTAAACAGAGATGTGTGGGTGCATTTTAATAAGTCTGTTTTTCTCTGCACAGAGGCACCTAGCTTGGGAAACAAGATTGCTGCTGGCTTAATGACCGGAGGCGTGGCAGTGTTCATCGGGCAACCCACGGAGGTGGTGAAAGTCAGACTGCAAGCACAGAGCCATCTACATGGTCTGAAACCTCGCTACACTGGAACCTACAATGCTTACAGAATTATAGCCACAACAGAAAGCTTGACAACTCTTTGGAAAGGTGACGAACTTCTAGGCAGATTTTATAATCATTAAAATACACATATCCAGTGAGCACCTTATCATATACTATACTTATTAAATATTGTCTTTTTCCCCCCTAGGCACTACTCCTAACCTACTGAGAAATATCATCATCAATTGTACAGAGCTAGTGACATATGACCTGATGAAGGGGTTCTTTGTGAAAAACAAAATACTAGCAGGTAGCTTCCAATTTTCTATACTAAACATGCTAGTACCTGTATAATTTCATCTTGGAGCTTCTGCATCCATGTTATATTGAGTCTCTTAATTCAGATAGACTTCTCTTTTTAAAAAAATTATGTAACTTTGAACATTAAATCTAACTTTTTGAGACGCACAAAGAAACTCAAACTTTAAAAAGTTGTGCTACAACAAATTTTTGCAACTATTTTTTATTTTGCTACCACAAAACCAAAATCCAACTGCATTCTTGCATCAGAATCATTCTCATTTAATACTAATATATGAACTTTGTTAGACTCTTTTTTTCGTACAGCAGGAATCAGGGGTAAGTCCATCTGCACTCCCAAAGAGCTTGTTGTATGCCAAACTCAACACTGATTTCAGTGAGCATAGGACAGCTTCCTGAAATAAAAGTCTAACAGTTTCTAGAGAAACTGAAATTCTGCTTTGACAATGGCTTTACTACAATTAAACATTAGCAAATGCCCATCTATCAGGCATTGTGCCAGGCCCAAGGACATAGAGAAAATAGCTATTTTCCCCAAGTGTTTGCAATCCATTATGCCATCTTTTTCTAGCACAAGTATAACCTTGCTTGCTATATTTTATTTATTTATAAGACATGTTGACTTCTTGTTATTAGTAGGTTTACAAGGACCTGACAGATAAGTAAAACTACACTCCCTCCAAAGTATGTTATTGACCTGTTTCATTGATCCGTTTTAGATGACGTCCCCTGTCACTTACTGTCGGCTCTTATTGCTGGGTTTTGCACAACACTTCTGTCCTCTCCTGTGGATGTGGTAAAAACCAGATTTATTAATTCTCCAGCTGGACAGTACATAAGCGTGCCTAGCTGTGCAATGACAATGTTCACTAAGGAAGGACCAACGGCTTTTTTCAAAGGGTAGGGTGTGATCTTCTGCATCTTTAATGTTGTGTTTAGGGTGCCTTTGTGTTTTGGGACACTGTCTTAGCTTAACAATGGGCACTTAGCTTACCACGTTAGTATATGCAGTGGAATTAATATATGACCTTTTTTTGTTTTTTTTTTTTTTTGGTGAAACTGAAGTTTGAACTCACTCAGGGCTTCATGTTTGCACTGCTTGAGCCATACCTCCAGTCCATTTTGCTCTGTTAGTTTGAAGATAGGGTCTCACTATTTGCCCAGGCTGGTCTTGAATCTCAAACCTCACTATCTTAGCCTCCCAAATAGCTAGGATTACAGGCATGAGCTACTGACCCTTGGCTAATACATGTTTTTGCCTGGCCACAAATGTCTCTAATCCACCAATTCCACTGTACTACAAAATAAAAAGCTGTGGTAGGTGGAACTTTCCCAGCCTAATTCAGAGTTTGTTAAAAACCAGACCCGCTCAACTGGGAATGTAGAGTGTGTTCTTTTCATCACATGCTTCACTGGGAAGGAGAACTGTAACTAAAGGGAAGGGATAGCAGAGGGCTATGAAAAAAGTATCATTTAGTTTTCATTATTTTAATTCAATAAACTCAATTTTTAAAATTCTTTTTTTTTTGGCCATGCTGGATGGAACTCAGGGTACCACTCTACCACTGGGCTACACCCAGCCAAATTTTTAAAATTCTACTAAAGCAAAACTAGAGATAGTCATTGCCACTGATCTAGAAAAATCATGCAGAAAATGTTGTGGGGTGGGTAATGGTGATGCTCACCTAGGAAGTAGTACTGGCTAATAGACTGCATTTTCCATAATTGAATATGTATTATATGTTATATACTATATTACATTGTATTATATTGGAAATCACCTTCCTAAGAAAATACAGGGTGAACTTACTTATGGATGGATACACACATACACACACATGTATGTATATATATATATATATATATATATATATATATATATATTTTTTTTTTTTCAGTATCAGAGTTTGAACTCAGGGACTGTGCTTGCTAGGCAGGTACTCTACCACTTGAGCCACACCTCCAGCCCTAATTTATGGATAGATTCAACAAGACTACATGGTAGCTAAATAGTAAAATTCTGTACCCCTTTAAAATTATAAAGCAATGCTTCAAACCTTATAAAATAAGCATGAATGTACCATATACATTACATGGAAAGCTCCAAGATTATCTCCACTTTTTACACACTAATACAAATAATATGCATTGTAAAATTAACTTCAAATGGATGTACCAGTTATTCATCAACAACACTTTTCTTGCCTTCAAATTTAAAAACCTTCTAAGAGAGACACACTACAATATGAAAACACTATGCTAAATAAAATAAGTCATACACAAAAAGACAAATTCCATGGGATTCCATTTAAGTGAGTAACCCGGCTCAAATGCAAAAGAACAGAAAATAGAACGGCAGTAACCAGGGCTGGAGGTGGGAGAGTGGCAGTTAGTATCTGATGGGGACAGAGCGTGTTTAGATGATCCAGTGGCCATGGAGTCAGATGGCGGTGTTCACTGCACAGTGTGAATGTACTTAATTTGAAAATGGTTACAATGGTAGTTTTACATTATTTATTTTTTCCACAATTAAAAACACTCCATGCACATGGTAGTCAAGAGAAATACATTAGGAAATCTGGGGAGCAGAACAGCTGGGGGATGTTTTTTGTAGACTAGATTTCTGTTCAAAGTCTATGCAAACAGATTTAATTTTCACATCTTTTTCTCCTGAAACATTTCTTTGCGGTAAACACATGTTTAAAATCAATCACTTGGTTTGCATACTTCAGAATTCTTTTTAGAAAGCAAAAGCAAGAGACCAAATATCCCTAAAACAAACAAAACACATTTAAACCTCGATGTCTCTCTGAAGTCAACAATTGCCAAGATGAAAACAACATTGATTTCCTGACTGCTTCCCTTACTCGTTCATCACTGCTTTACTTTCTCTCTCTGCTTTCTCTTTTATGGATTTCCTACCTTCTGTTTAGAAAGCAAAACAAAAATTTTTCTTCCTTCAAAAAAGGAGTTATTGACAAACACTATGTCAGAAAGAAGATGCACTTTGATTTGCTGGAGTGGAGGATATTTAGGGACTTATATAAATGGGATATTAGGTTTTGTTTGGAAGCAGTAGAGACAGCTTTGGGAAACTTTGGGCTGAGGAAGGATGAAGCATATCCATCTTCATTTGAAAATGGCAAAATGAGAAGCGTGAGCTGCCTTTCTATAAGCACTAAGAATTTCAGACAAACTAACAGAATGGTGGTGCACACTTTTCTAGATTCATGCCTTCCTTCCTACGACTTGGATCCTGGAACGTCATCATGTTTGTGTGCTTTGAACAGCTGAAACGGAATTGATGAAGTCGAGGCAGACTGCGGGTTATGCCACGTAGTCAGCTTCAAGTAAAGATGTAACACACCAGTGGAGGAATCCTTGCTGGCTAGACCACTACTAAAAACAAAACAAAAAATAAAGCAAAACCCCTCACTTTGTTTACCCTGAAATGATGAAGGAATTCTGGTAGAGAGCTTTGGACTTTCTTTAAAAAAAAATAAAAGGAAAACCAATACCGCTTTTCCATAATTTTTATTCTTAATGACTTGAGGAAAAAGTGCAGCATTCAGTATAGACCCTGGAGATTTTTTGCAATGCCCAGATCAGTTACTGCATTTGATTGACTATTTTGGATATAGAATTGTATGACTGACTATGAAGAATAATTATAACTAAACCCAGTGGATCAGGAAAACTGAAGATGTATTTGACTTTTATAAATGCTTAAAATGAAGTTATTACAGAAAATATTACTTTTTTCTTTTTTTTATTAACTGCAACTGTCAGTTAACATATTCAATAAAGAATTGCTAATACTGTGTAAAGTTTGTCTTTGGGGACCCACACTTGCATTTTAAGAGTAGGGGTTTCTCCTAGAAAACAAAGATGTCCAATAGCAAGTAAGGGTCTTTAGAATCAAAAGGTGTAAACTGACTCTGAATGTTAGTACAGGTTTTGAGAGTCCATATTTTCTGACACCCACAACAATTTTTAATCTGAGGCACTGTATTCATTTGAAAATTGTTGGTGGGACAGTCGTGGTAGACATTGGAGATGAAGTGAATCTTCAGTCACCTTCCCACCAAAGCAACACGGATCAGTAGCACATGTAGTGAGCTTTTTCATGTCTACAAACTGAGTGCAGAAGACACAAGGAAAGAGTACACTAGAGATTAAAGGAATTATAAATCCCAGTCTTGTTTTAAGATAAAAATGAGAACTGGCAGCAGGATGACCAGGAGGTCTACAGGCGGGCAGCCTAATTCCGTGTTTTAATTGACTTCACATTACATTCACTATTAGAGTTTGCCCCTTGTCTTCATTCTTACTGTAATAGTTTGTTGCTATTACAAAAATATGTGAAGACGGGTACTTTATAAAGAATGGTTAATCATCTCACGGTGTTAGAAATTCAAGAACATGGAGTCGCTAATCCTAGCTGTTTGAAAGGGTCAGATTGGGAGAAGTGCGGTTCCAGATCAACCCAGGAAAAAAAGTTTGAGAATCTCATCTCAACAACAACAACAAAGCTGGGTATGGTGGAGCAGGCCTGTCACTCCAGCAATGGCAGAAAGCATAAACCAGGAGGATCACAGTCTAGGCCGGCCTAGGCAAAAAGCAAGACCATATCTCCAAAATAACTACAGCAAAAAGGGCTGGGGGCATGGCTCAGGCAGTAGAGCACCTGCTTTGCAACTGCAGAAATTAGGAATTCAAACTGCAGTACTGTCCCCTCCAAAAAAAAAAAGAGACCATGCAGTGAGGAGAGGCCAGCTCATCCTCAAGGGGACTCTCCCGAGAGACAATTCATTCCTTGAGAACACCATTTATCCACTCAGAAGAGTGGAGTCCCAGCACCGACATTCCTTCCATCAGGCCCCACCTCCTCAAGGGTCCACCAGCTCACCAGTACACATGAAGGAAGGACTTAACTCCAGCACGGGAACCTTTGGGAGATGATTAACAGCAAATTTGTTACCTGTAAAGCATCTTGTGGAGGTGTCTTCAGTGTCCTGTACACATTGTGTCGCTCTTACCACATTGAGTGCATGCTGACCTAGCTTCCTGTTGTCCATACCTCCAGCCAGCTCAGTCCACCTGAGCAATGCACGATGTAAGACCTGCACACCCCCACCAATCGCTGATTGCAATGTTCGATCAGTGTCAGTTCTCTCAACCCTCGGGTGAAATACCACGGGTCGGTCAAACTCAGTTACAGTGGCATGCTCCTTAAATATTAAGCCCCTCTCTAGCTGTCTTCAAAACTTTCCTTCTTTCCATCATTTGTCTTATTGTGCTAGCTAGGATTACGAGCACAATGTTGAAAAGATATGCTGTGACAATTTGGATATATTCAGAAAATATTCAGTCCTGTCCCCTTCCCGAGAGTGCATTCCCCGGCTCTGCTGAGGTTGGACTTAGCCTTACCATTCGCCATCACCAATGGAATATTAACGGATGTCAATTTTGGATTTGGGCCAGTTCTTGTGCTTCTGCCGACATCACCACGAAAAGAGCACGTCTTGGGCAGCCCGTCGGTCCGAAAAGAATTAGAGCCACATGGAACTGCCCCCAAGAAGTCATAAACCCGTCCCCAAGTCCAGCTGGATCCGGCTAAGATTATCAAAGCTGTCGAGCCACCCTGACACATGAGGAATAAATACGTGGTGTGCCACTGACTTGTTTCTTGTCTCATAGTTGTTATGGACTGTTACCGTGGTGTTAGCCGACACAAATGATAATTCTTTCCTAATTTGATCCTGATGTTTTGTCACTAAGTGTACTTGCTGTAACTTAAAGATACATTTTGTAAAATTAAGGTAAATCACTGTTTCTCATTTGCTTTTTTTTTTTTTTTGCTTAATGGTTTTAACATGAATGGATGTTGGCTTTTTATCAAATGCTTTTCCTACAGCCAATATCACGATTTTCAAATATTAATGTAACAAATTATTAGTTTCATTCTGGGCATTAACTGAATCAAGAAATAATTGATAACATCTTATATGTGTCTAGGTCATTGTTCATGTATTAAATCTGTTTCTGGATTCAGTGTGCTAATATTTGGGTTTATGGCACTTAAAAGTGGCATTGGCATACAATTTTCCCTTTTCCAACTGTCCCCTCTGAGCAACGACTGACAGTAATGCTCATGAATTGTGCAGTCTACAATCTTATTTTGGAAGAGTTTGTGAAAGCTGACATCATTTTATTCTTACATGTGTTGTTTAACTCACTGGTGCAAGCAGAGTTTTTAATGCTAATTCTTTTGCTAATTCAGTTCAACAGGTTTGAGGCTTTTGCTTTTCTATTTTTTTTTGCACGGTATTGGTAAGTTATATTTTAAAGAGATTTTTGTATTTTATCTGCATTTTCTAACTAGACAAAAATGATTACTTTTAGTATTTGTAGGATCTGTACTGATGTCATTCTTGACATTATTTATTGCTTTCTCTTTTTTGGGGGGCAGTACTAGGGTTTGAACTCAGGGTTCACGCTTGCTAGGCAGTCAGCACCAGTCTCCTCTTATTCTTGATTAGTCTTAACAACAGTATCAGTATTTTAAAGCAACAACTTTACTGCCTTAGCCTTATCCAATCAGTTCTATACACCGTATTGTTATTTCAAAATAAGATACATACATACAAATACATACTGCATCTGTAGAAAACAGAATAGGGAAGCTATGTATTAATATGAAAACAGAACTAGAGACACTGTAAAGTTAAGGGAAAAGTATAGTTTAGTATGAATTATTCCTACCCTTTGAAAGAATGGGATGAGGTGGGATGGAAATGGTGACTTCTTTTAAAATAAAACAAATTAATTTTCAGTCTTAGAACTACTTATTCTCATCCAATAACATCTTAAATAGGTAATTAGCATATGAGTTAAGATACAAGATTTTAGAAATTCCTGTATATTCTGATTTTTTATGTGGCAACACAATAGAAAATTAAAGAAAACATTGTTTCATGAACCTATGTGCATGACTTAAAGAAGGAGTAGGAAGGAAAGGAAGATAGCAGAGTATTAACAGAAAGGATTACAATTTTAATGTGCTTTTTATTTGCTCACATAGTATCACAAACAAAACGACATCACATTTCACACCATTGCTTTTATTTAAAATTCAACAGATTTATCCAAAGAAGATAAAAAACTAAGTTGCCAACCACCACTTTCCCCCCAGGGAACAATACCACTTAAATATGTTTTGACTATTTGAAGAAAACACAGAATCGCTCAGTAACAACAACGTCATAGTTGGGGCGTACCTGCACATTTTTTATTTTTCATCTAAAGCTGAAGACAGAAAAAACCAAAACTCGTCATGATTTTTTTCAGAGTGTTAACCATTCCATTTATCTTTGTTTAAAATTTGCTTTGTGTGGAGTAGAGAGGTTTATGAATAAGAAAATGGAAATTAATCCTCCCCAGAGAAGTAGGGTATTTTTCCTGAGAAATCAGCTGTGGGTCCCCAATCACTATTTCAAGAAGGAAATAAACATTGTCATCCTTAAGCAAATCTCCTCTCCTCTGTCCATAATACCATGTAAACTTTTCTGTTCTACAACTAAGCACCTACTTTCTACACTCATGTAATACTTTTCCTTCGAGCAAATCTTTGCCCAAATTCTATTTCTCGGAAATGTTCTCAATGGGGAGAAACCATATATGGGCAATTGTGAACACTGGAATGAGAATAAACAGCACCTACATTTTCACATAGAAAAATACATACAAATCCAAGTAGTTCTTAAAATAGAAACAAATCAGGATGGGCATTTTTAAGAAAAAGATTCTGTTTTCTAAACTTCAAACGGTGCCAGCTTAACACACTGATTATATCTAACTATATCATCTCATTTATTTACAAAGAAAGGTGGGTTGGGGTTCACTGACACCCTCTGATTTCTCCCATCTCTTTAAAGATTGTCTTTCAGAAAATATTCAACCTGTAAATGTCATAAATGTATTTTTAGACCATTCTTGTCACTGGCACAATCAAAATTTCATTTCCACATCAATTCTACTTTTCGATGCTAAAATTAACATAATTTTCCTACTTCAGTGCCACAATAGTCTATCACTACTTTGGCCCTTTACTAGTTGTAGAAACAGGTACCATTCTAGACGAGATCGGGCGCGTTCAGGGTGGTATGGCCGCAGACAGGTACCATTCTAAATATGGATTTTAAAACTACATAAAATTCTAGCATACATGTTGAAAGCAAGGGGAAGTAGGAAGGCGGAAGCAATAACGTCACTATGACATGTAAGTCAGAGGCTCATGTTACATTCTAATATACAACTGGTGACAAACTGGACTCCAGACTTATCAAATCCTTGATTTTATTGGTGGCTTTTGGATCAATTTGTTATAGAATTATCTGAAATGGTTAATAATAAATAAAGCAAAACAAAACAATATCTGTAGTGTACAAACAGAGGTGGATTTAAGGAACATATTATTGAGAACAATTTATAAGGACATTTTCTTAACATCATTAGAGTTTTTTTCCCTCCCTAGAAGGGGAAAAACTTAATTACTTAAAAGTTTTCCCCTTTCATACTTGAAGCTGTCTTTTATTAATCATACTGATAAAGGTTTAAATCAGTTCAAGATTTCAGCTGTTTAACAATCAAAATACAAAGGTAAGTATAGTCAGAACAAAAATTAAAGACTGGCAGAATTGCTTCCCACTGAAGAGTAACAACTTAATATAACAAGCATCAATGGTTAACACCTCATCCTTGTTAGGAATTTTGCTACAAATTATAAAACTCTATTGGATGATAAAGCATGAAAACATCAAAAATAAAAAACAGAATAAAGATATTACCAAGGGTGAGAAGTCTCCTACAAGAAGTCAGTTATTAAATTCTTATAAACACTGAAAAGCTAAATTGCTACTATTATAATAAAATGAATCAAGTTTTAAAAATAGCTTTTTTCTTATTGAGAAAACTAATTTTAATGCGTGCACTTTAATGTGTGTGCTATAGAACACAGCATCCACTATTTCCTGACAGGACCTTTCTGACCACCCTTCTCTCAGACAAATCTGAAGAGTGCGCAAATAGTAGAAAAGTACAAAGTCTTGCATATCACATACAAGCCAGTCCTTAAACACTAATGTAGACCACTTTAAAAGGTATACAAATACCATATTTTAGATTAAATTCTGATTTTTAACAAGTGGGTTTCTGTAGGATTTAGGGAGAACTTGGTAACTAATCAGATGGACTTTCCTACTTTCGTGCTCTTTCGGGTTTGTTGTGAGCACAAATGTCTAAAATACACCCAGAAGAAATCATCCCCATTAGACCTCATCACATATAACCCCTGACAGCACTTGCTGCTCTCCTGAGAATTTAGAGAATAAAGCTATACTAAATGCACAGTCCTCATCCTCAAGCTACTGAGAATCCCACAGACTGTTAACATAAGGTCCACACATCATCCAGAAACACTATGGAGTCACAGCAAAGAGAAGCAAAAGTTAACAGTCAAACCAATGTTTAACTGAAATTTACAAAAAGTTTTAGGTCTTCTTCTTAAGTTTCAAGGGCAGTTTTATTTTAAAGGACAGTGTCTTTTGAATACAACTAAGATTTTCTTAGCAAATACATTCCCTTTCATAAACACGTAAGTAGCGGTCCTCACAGCAAAGCACTAACTAAGTAAGGTTCTTGTCTATAATCAGTAAAAAGTGAATACTCAGGATGAACAAAATGTCTTTAAACCTTAAAGTAATACTGGGATATTTTAAAACAAAAAAGCTTGTCACTAATACTGTCATTCTCTCATTTTCTGTTATGCTCAATAATCAGAGGAACCAAAAAGGAGGCCATGATGGTTCACCCTCTCTGACACCTATGCTACTATTGCTACTATGATGTGGCATTATGACAAGTGAGTGAGAGGCAGACAGAGAAAGTCACAGAACTGTTCTTGCTATTTGTCTAAAAGGAAAAACAAAAAGGACAAAGCCAACTAAAAACATCCACTTCCAGACTAAACAAACAAATCCCAAAAAGCTTTGAGAAAGATACCAACTTGATAGTTACAACACATGAACATGAAAACTGATTTGTATACCACTTAACCAACCAATTTAACATTAATACCTGATTTATACTTCTACACTAACAGGTTAAGTTCCAAGTTCCAAACTGAAGTTCACAGGACTCTACAGAGGGGGTCTTTGGAAGGATAAGGTACCTTTGGAGAACAGTGTATAAACAATTGTAAACATACACTGATTGTCCACTAGCTTTCTTAAATAGAATTTCTGAAGTATTTTGTAGGAAATTATACGTAAGAGTGTAATTGATCAAATAATTTCTATTACAACATATAAATTCTGTTGTGTGTGCAAAATGTGGTAGAAATAGAAGATACTATGAATGGTTCATATTTTTAAAGTAAGTGCTGCATTGCAATCCATTAACAGTCCTTTAATCTTTTCGTGAAACTTCTCTCTATACAGGTTGAAATACATAATGCTTTCTGGTTCTTCTTCAAACCAAAACTTGTCAAATTCATAGACAAGATAACCTGCAATTAAAGAGAAACAAAACATATCATCCTCAATATTAAAACCATTTTTAGCAAATACATAACCACCTTTTAAAATCCATGTTAGTATATTTATTTTCAGTAAGAGATGAAAATGACTTATTTCAGCTAAACAGGGGAAGAAGTCAATGACTTCAAACTAAGTGTGGCTAGATTATCACAATTGTCTAGTATGAGAAAAAAACATGGCTATTCCATTTTGATAAGATTGTTCATAAAGCAAACATTAATAGTTAGGAACCTGAACATTTCAATATTACACATTACTTTGCAAGGTCAGTTTTAAAAAGATTTCAGATTAATCCCTTTACACCTGATGAAACAGTTTTGACAACCAGGATATATAAGAAAATAAAAGAATGAAGTCTCTGGAAAATACTATCTGCGTCTTGGTTCCAAAAGATGGGCTAAGAATGACAATCTTGCAATTATTTATAAATATTATTTTCTACCTATAATTAAATTGTACTTTGTGCATACATTAGGACAATAAAATATGGATAGTTATTATCCATAAATATACAAACCAAGTCTGTGTTCGCCTTCATTTCCACCTCCAAAACACTGACAGACACATACAATAAAAAAATTGGAGACGATTATTCTAGGTAAGAAAGAAAATCAGATAGCCATACAAAACTTATGGTATACCATTTGTTTTAGTATTTCCGGCTGTTATTTTCCTTCTTATGATCTGTAGACTGCTCTTTCATAAACATCAGTAATGTGGCCCATATACTTAGGCCTGGAACGAACTGCTCAAACACTAGAAACTCTTGTTGTCAGAGTGAAGTTGTTGGTCTACAATGTGAACCAGCTGTCTGAGAAAGACTGATTGAAGAGCTAAGACTGTAATAGCTAAGCTGATTTAATAAGGCATCAGAAATCTGTAGGAACAAAGAGTATCAAAACTCTAGGAAGCTGGCAGAGCCATCTTGGTTAAAGACTCCAAACTTAACTCTAAGAGGTGAGTGTCAATAGAAATTACCAGAGAAAACTTCTAAACGAAAAATCTCTTGCATATTTCTACTGTCAGTGTTAAAAATAAGGAAAACAGAGAAAAGGGGCTAAACAGCAAATGGATATGAAGGGTCGTACAGGGGTGACAAAAATGTAAACTGGGTAATGATGACAGCTGACCGATAAATTTACAAAAACTCATTGGATTCATTCCTTAAAATGCGTGAATTTGTGGTACATAAATTTTACCTCAATAAACTTACGAAGGTATAACTTCTTGGTTATAAAAACTTAAGGTGCTTTTTTGGAACCCACCAAACCAGAAGTCCTGTTAAAACCATGGCCTTCAAAAATTAGAATGGAGACAGTAATAGCTGGAAGGTAGAGGTCCTGGGATCCCTCTTGTAAGGCCACTGGTCAGCAGCTTCCCTGGCTGATGGTGGATCCTGTTCACAGTTTAGATGCTAAGAAAGTGACAATGGGGATAAGTTACCACTCACTGTGCCCAGCCTCTCCCACACAGATTAAACCAAACAAACAAAAAAAGTAGGGGAATAAAGGGAAAAAGAGAAATGAAGGCAGATTGCAGAGAAAAAAAAAAATGGAAAGCTAGTTTGTTTGTAGTTCTTTCTTCTGGGCAGAAACAACGAGCTTGGAACTGACTTGTGCAAACTACTTGGGCTATTCCTCCAATAACAGCAAAATGTGTGTGTACTCAAAAGCCAAAGTTTCAAGTTATTCTTCTAGTTAGAATGGGCTCCTTCTGTGAAGAAAAGCAGAGCCTTAATTAAGACAGGAAACATCCACTGATACGGGAAATGAAAATCATTTTTGGAAACTTCTGCTTAAAAGGGGTCAGTGTGTATACGTGTGTGTGTGTGTGTATCTGTGTGTGGTGTGTGTGTGTTTAAATGTTTTGAGAAATTTGAAAGTCACAGCATCACTGTTTCCAGGATGATTCTCAGCTCTGATGGATCTGAACTGACAGGAAGAAGCAACTGAAATGGTAGTACAATGGCCTTTCCATCTTGGATATGACTTTTATGCACTTTCCAGACAAGAGGTAACTGAATGCTCGTGTTGAGGGCACTGGAGACCAACAGTCCCCAGGGAGCTTCAAGTTACCACTCTTTAAGGAAAAAGGATCAAACAGAGGTCATTTTTTACTGCTTTCCTATCTATCATCCTCCTGTATTTATTTAAATATATTAAATTGCTTGTTTAGGGAGTTTTTGGTTTGTTTCTTATTAAATTTGTCTTATGTTATAGGTGGTATTAAACAGGGGACATATTTCACTAGAGAAAACAATACCAAAGGCAAGTTAGCAAAATCTAGGGGTTTAGGCACCATGCTAAAAAGGTGAATAAATTTAGGACAGGAAATCAAATAAGACAAGTGACGGTAAATAACCAGTTTCACGACAATGAGGTGAAAGAGAAGAGACAGCAGGATGGAGAGATGCAGATCTAAATGGAAATCTAGTAAAATGTCTGATCTAAAGCTCAGTGAGGGGAAGGTGTTCTTCTCAGATCATAGTACAAACACAGTCACCCAGTATATACTTACAGGTAGACACATTGGGATTATTCCCAGACAGTTCTGTTGTATTTTCTTTATTTATTTGGTTGGTTTTTTTGAGACAGAGTCTTGCTCTTAGCCCAGGCCAGTCTCCAACGTGAGATTTTCCTACTTCAGCCTCCCTAGTGCTAGGATTATAGACATGTACTATCATGCCCAGCTTTTTGTTTGCTTTTTGAGACAGGGTCTCACTATGCAGCTGGCCTTAATCTGTGATCCCCTGCCTCACTCAGCCTTCCGAGGGTCAGGATTTCAGGTATGAACCATCACATACGGCTGGCTTAGTCACTCATCTCTAAGGGCAGGTGTGGAATGCAGCCAGCTTCCCTAGTACAGTGAGGAAGGGCCAGAGGCTATTTAAATAAAATACGATGATCTTGGGATGGCACAGGAAAGCTCTTCTGCCTGTGAAGAACCTTCACAGTAGAATCATCAAAGTTGCTCCTTAAGAATCTAGAAACCTATGTATCCCTTCATCAGAAGACTTGGATAACCACAACCACAGGAACCTTAAGCCTTACCCATTAAAAAAAAAAACAAAGGGTCCAGACACAGTGCTGGGCTGGGCAGGAGCTGTACACATTGGCCCTGTTAGTACACAGATGCATCGCAAACCAGGGATCAGATGAGGTCACTCAGGGAGAACCATGTGGGCCCAGGGTCTGGCTCTGCAGTGCTCCTACACATAGACATGGAGTGGATATCTACAGAAAATCTAGCAGGGCAGAAGAAAAGCCAGGATATTTCACGAAGAAGGGCCACTGATGCCTACTGCTGCAAAAGCATCAAATAACATGAAGGAAAGTCAAGGCAACTGTATTTGACATCAAAAAACACTGAGAAACTCAGTTTCTCAGAGCAGTGGAGAGAGAACACACGCTGCAGTGAGACAAAACTGGAGGTACAGAAGTGAAAACAGCACTTATTGTACAGGTTTTATGATGAAGGGGAGGAGAGAAATGGAGTGGGGTCTGGAGATGAAAGCTGCACAAAGAGAATATTCGAATTTATTTTTAAAGAGGAAAGCTACACACCTGCAGGGATTATCCCCTACTCTCTGCCATATCCCTCATGCCCAGAAAAGCATCTGGCATGCAGCAAGTGAGTGAGTGAATGGGAGAGACTGAGGCAGCTCTGTAGTCTTTGGGAGCACTCCAACAGAGAACAGGCGAGAAACAGGTAACTGAAAGATGAGCTAGCACCATCTGAAAAGAAAAGAGGGAGCAGGAGCAATGCTCCCCACTGAGTGTCAACTCCAAAGGTGCAGTCAAAGTGCCGTATTTACCAGTTGCCTAGACGTTAGACCGTGGGGGTTGGTGGGTAGCCAAAAGTAATTCTGAAAAGGTTACCAAGGTTCAGATTATGCAGAGCCTTGTAATGAGGACCCTCTGAAAAATTTTGGACAGTGGACTAAAATGATTAATTTTCATTTTAAGTAACTATACTTCCAGTGTGGAGAGTCAGACATTCAGACAGTATTAAAAGGCTACTATAGTAACCTAGTAACAAAGGCCTGCTGTCACGCTATTACAAAGGGATGGAAAGTAGACAAATTCAAGAGAAATTTAGGATGTAGAGGAAACTGAAGGGTTGAAGTAAAGGTGGGATAGGGTGTGGCAAAGGGAGCCATGGATGATACCTTCAATGGTGGTTGAAATTATGATTTGGCCATTTATAGTCTAAATCGTTTCCCATATCTGACCAACATGCAACGGACATTCTAAAGACAAAAAAAGAAAAAAAGAAAAAAAACCCTGAGAAAACTAGAGTGTGAAGCTAAGCTAGATTTGAACTCTTTGCTTCTGAGCAATAGCTTCAGAAGATGGATTCATTCAATCAAACCATTTTAACTATCACTACAGTACAGTGATTATGACAACTGCTAAATTAAGAAAATCTGACATTGAAAAAAGGGGGTGAAAAGTTTCTTTAAATTGATTTTCTTTACAAAGAGTAACAAAAAATAACCTGCAAATGCTACTTGATCCCACAGCATTCATTAGCCAGTATTCAAGGGGGAAAATTCATTTTGTATCTGATTGGGAAATGACTGCCTACAGAAAAACTGCATGAATTCTAAATTTGCATTGTTTTTTTGTCAGCAAATATAGAAAGTGATGTAAAAAAAAATGCTTTTAGGGTCCCATCTTCCATTATTTCTCTGGCTTTCAAGGACCCTAAATAATAAAATGGTAAGGATAGGTTTTACACTTGATACAGATATTAGATTACAATACATAGTAAGACCTCCTAATGGTTTAAAATTTCTCTTGGTGAGATCCAGTGCTTGCTCATCCTGGTACTCACAGTAAAACTGATGAAAGTGTTCCAGTGTGGGCATGCCTGGAACAAAGTTGTAGAGGTGGAACTTCAGCGCCTCACTCTTCAGCAAGCTGTAAGCCATCTCTGTGAGATTGATCCCAACTATTGCATAAGAATACCTATGTCAGAAACATTACAGTTACAACAGCTAGCCAGATAGCTCAGAAATTAAATTTAAAATTGTGGAAGAAATTAGGAAAAAGTGACTTTGACTTTATGATAATCTCTATACATTAAGAAAAACCAAAATGGATTCAAAACTTTTTTCTAAAGCTGTTGATTTTCTGGATAGAAGCCAAAAAAATAAAAATAAAGCTCTATTCATGTGACACATAAAACCAAAAAGAGAACTACATTCACCAAATCTCATTGGTTTCTAAACTACTGGATAATCTTGCATTTTCTTCTCCATTACCAAGGCATTTATTTTTATGATCTAACATTATCATGATTTTTAAATCATCACAATTAAAAATCGTGATAATGTAATAAAATGACCTTAATTTGCATTTCACATTATAATTTTGAAAGGTACTTCTGATTTTCCTATTCCTATTTCAAAATTATTTTCTATTCCTATTGTCAAATCTAAAAGGCCCTTAACCTCATTTTATAAACTATACCTGTGACAAAAGTATATACAAATATAATTTATGATCACATTTCCCTTAAAAATGTCTCATACAATAACCTTTATAAAGTTACTATTATTTAAAATAATCTATTTTAAGAATACCTTTAAACTCATAGTTGTCTAATCATCTTAAATGGAGAGATTCATTTCTTTAATGCTTGCCCAGCTTACCCTAATTTTGGATGATTTGAGCGGGACAGAATCTGATGGGCTTCACTGGTATAATTTTCACTGAAATATCTAAGAAAGTTCAAAGAAAAAACAATGAAATGAGCATATGTCATTCAAACCAAGATCCAGAAGCAACTGCTATCATTAGCATGGAAAACTAATCTTCACAAAATCTACACTGAATTTCTTACTGCCTTTATTTTTTCTCTCCACTGTTCCTCCCCTTCCTCTCCCCGCCTTCCTTCCTTCATACATTTTTGGCTTTTCCTGGCAGATTCTTCTACTGTACTGTGGCTTTTCCCTCATTTGCTCAGATTTATTCCATTTCCCTTGAATTCATTTTCCACACAACATCCTTCCTTCTACACCTGCCTTCCACTCATTCATCTAAAGTCTTGTTATTTATCAAACCACCAACTAGCCTTCAAACCAAGAAACTATCTTAAGAGGGGTGGGGGCAGGGGGGAGAAATGACCCAAGCCTTGTATGCACATATGAATAAAAGAAAAAAAAAAAAGAAACTATCTTAAGAGATTACATGACAAAGGCCAAGAAATTTAAAAATTATAAATTACTTTGGGGTGTTTTAAGAGCCTCCCTGTTACATTACTCTGTATTTGGCTCCTGAAGGTCATAGCTCCATATACAGCACAACAAACATCATAGAGGAATCGGAGCTAATTTTATGGGTTTTGGTCATTTCTAGTGCACTGCTGGCACTCAAATAATTGCTATGTGAATCTGGGTCATTTTTCAAATGATACCAATTATAACTGGAGTGAAAATATCTGTAAGTCACTTAAAGTTCTACCAAATCCTATTACCTATTACCTAAATACTCTTTTGATGGATGCTAAGAAATAATTTTTTTGCAATTAATTTTTACCTCTCAGAATTAGAATTATAGAGCACTTAAATGCTTATAAAATTTAAGTATTACAAAAGTTACTCTCATAATTTAAAAAAGTGTAAATACTCAAATCCTACTGTCTTCAATTTTCAATCCTACTGCCTTATCCGTGTTGACGGATATTTTTTTTCAATATGAGCCAAACTTGTTTAACTTTAGAATTTATTTTTTCACATAATTATCCAGTTTGAATAATTCTTCCCATCCTAGATATTTTCTAGTCTGTGAATCAGAATCCACAGATTCAATCACTTGAACCTACATTTGCATATCCATATAGGAGGAAATTAATCTTCCAGTTATTTTCTAAAAGAGTTTTGGTTATCACTTGTGACTTAGCTGCATACTACAGGATTTCATCCTGTGCCCAGTCATCACTATTAAAGAAAAAAGCACTATGCAAGTCAAGGACGCATGCGAGGAGACTTTACCATCTTATCTGGCTGTATTTCCCCAAATGGAATCAGAGCCCCAAGAGAAACAAGAGGATAATAACAGTAAGGAAAGAGTGCAAAGAATTTTTAAGAGGCATAGGAAAGGAGGTCAGGAAGAGAAAGGAGAGGAAAGTAGTGGTAAGTAAAGGAAGCGTTCACACAATGATCTGTTTCATCAGCACCTTAGCTAATGCAAGCACTGCAGCTACTAAAATTCTGAGATGTGTGAAGCAATTCTTACTAGAATTTAACTACATGTAATCAATGAACCACAGAGAAGAAGAGAAAGCTTATTCTCACTTACACAAGGTTGATTAATCCGAGTATGCCCATGCCTCTGAAGTCTGTTTTGGGATCATCACCCTGGAAACCAATGTCAGCCCACTGCTTGGAGATTCTTGCTTTCAGCTTTTTCGTGGGCATCAGAAGATTCCAAAGCTGCACAAACATGCTTTCACGTTACGTGATAGTGATGTTCTTCATTTACCAAGATAATTTTCTTCTCATAGCTTACGTAGTTAGTAAGTGAATACATTCAAACAACTTTTGTACACGAATCATAAGTTCAACAAAGACTACGTTTAGAAAACTTTTCAATTATCCAAATAAGGTAACTTATTATTCCAACTACAAAGGTTAAAGAATAAATTTTGGAAAGGTAGCAAGCACATAGTACACAGAAATCTAAACAAACGAGATGTCTTTTTTACGAATCAATAACATGTACTAGAATTGGTAAACAGCTTGAGAAGAATACAGGACTAGGCAACTGTTCTCATATTCTTAAACAGGCTCTATTATATAGTGGTGGATGATGAATCCCTAATGCAAAAAAGAAAATAGGTTGAAGGGAGGGAATCATGAATAAATGACACTGATAATATTCCAATCTATATAATCACTATTTCAAGATTTTTCAGTTTTAAAAGAAACAACCGACTAGCTTTAGTAAATACAATCTCTCAACACTGAGGATTTAAGAACTATCAAATGTTAGATGCCAACAAACTAATCAATGCAGAATAAAGTTAAGAAAATTTAGTCACTTTCAAAATTCAGTATCTTAAGTCATCAAACAGCAGTTGATTAAAAAAAAAAGTTTTTGGCCAGATACAGTGGCTCTTGCCTATAATCCTAGCTACTTGGGAGGCAGAGACTGGGAGAATTATGGTTCAAGGTCTGCCTAGGGAAAAAGTTCATGAGATCCTATCTCAACCAATAAAAGCTGGGTGTGGTGGGGTACGCCTGTCGCCCCAGTTATGTGGGACTGTAAACAGGAGGACTGTGGTCCAGGTCAGCCAATGCTTACATAAAGCTAGACTACCTCAAAATAACCAAAAGCAAAAAGGGCTGGCTGGGGAGGCAGAGCTCAAGCAGCAGAGCTACTGCCTAGGAGACATGGGGTACTGAGCTCAACCCCTCAGTGCTGCCGGGGGAAAAAAAAAAAAAAACCAAAACTGTGAAAACTTGCAAAACAGAAACATTTGCATTCCCCTCATTTCAGTATTATTTCAGGCACTGTTGAAATAGGACTCCTAACAAAAGAGGTATTCTGTTACTAAAACGTGAATACTTATGATCTTTTAAAACAGGACCAGGACTCAGGCTCTGAAGCTATATCCAATCACTACACTGGGCTTTTTCTTGTTCCTACCACTTTTGTCATTGCATGTGATTTGCTCACAGAAGCATCTCCCCTGAAGTCAGCAGGGCATTGACTACGGCAATAATTAAGTGTGTGATGTGGAGAGGGCTGCAGTATAAACACTAGTACTCAATATTTAATATGCATAAATACAAATTTCTGGGCTCCACCCCTGGGGATTCTGATCTCACAGGGGCAAGGCGAATCTTTGCAATCTATTATTACACAGTGGTTATGTCTACTGAAGGTGGTCCTTGCACGATACTTAAAGCAACATGGATTCCATAGTGCTTTACCCAGGAAGACTGCTGAGTGTGTGTGTTGGGTAAGTCACTGCCAGCAATGGGCTCTCCACCCAGGACTGAATTTCATAATGAATTACTGAAAGAATTCCCTGGATTAGAAGGCTTCAAGAGGTAAGGTATTGAATAGACTCTGAAATTAAGAAAACAGTGATGACCCTGAGGACAGACACAGAGCTAATCCTGTGAGTGCCAGGCACTATTTGAAACACTTCATATATAAAAATTCAATCCACACACAGTCCTTTGACATGCCTATTTTTATTATCCACATTTTGCAAAATCAAGTTATAGTTTAATTTTACAATTAGGTAAAGTATGCTTTTTATACTATTTCTATTTTAAACTCATCTCTTACTGTTCCTTAGATACTGTCAATGTTTCTTTCCACAGTACTTCTGGTTAAAAAAACTCCTGACTTCAAGTGCAACAGTTATGTAACCATTGAGACACAATTGATAGGTACACAGGATGGGCAGGAAACTCAGCTCTCTTCCAGTATCTAATGTGAATCACTCCATTGCCTTTACCCCCAAAACAAAGGGACTAGATAGATAATCTGTAGTTTAGTCTAAGACTAATACATTTTAATTATACCTCATTGGCCTTATGAAGCATAAATATACTTCAGTAACAAGAAATAGGACAGTTCTAAGTAAATTTTTCACTTTCTTATTTAAATCTATTGTGGCACTTTTTGGCAATTAACATTCCATAAATCCAAAAAGATCTGATATAACAACCTATAAAAGGAAATTCATGTTCACAGTTTGATTTGAGAGTAGCTAAAAAAAATGTTGAATATAGTCCAAATTATATAAAAAGCAGGGTAAAACCTGGGGATTGTGGACTTTTTGGTTGAACAGGTCATCCTTTATAGATTCATAATTTATTCCAAAATTAAAAGAATTAAAATGAAATTCATTTGACTAGATTTTAATGATGGTTATCAGAAAATTATAAAAATTACTGACTAAAAATCTTTCCTATCAATGAAACTTAACACAATAAAATTCCCCAATGGGCAAAGAAACCAGACGGTTGATTAAGCATCTAGAATCTTCACAGACCCTTATCAGATCAAGATTTATTTTTCCAGTGTTCAACAACTCCCAACACAGAAAACAAAGACTTACCTTCAGGAGCAGCTTTTCATGTTGTGCATTATCAGAATCATATGGCCTCTTCCTCACACTTTCTACATCCAAGAAGAGCTGTTTATAGCCAGCTATCTGCAGTAAGCACGCTCTCATGCAGATTTTAAAACTGAAAATGATAACAATATGATTTTTAAAATTATAATATGATTTTTTAAATTATACATTATAATAAAGCAATGCCTTCCATAGTCTGTGGTCATGTGTGTACACAGAAAGCATTTCCTAACTTTTTGTTTAACACAAAAAGCACCAAGAGTCTCCTTAAACACCAAACATTATAAAAAGTATTCTGCAGGCCATGATCAAACAGGGTCTGGAAAGACAGCAAGATGTGGTATGAATCACAATCTCTGAGATTATAAGGATTTGTCTTCTTCTCATATTTTCTCTGGGGAATCCCAAATATTCCCAAATCTTTACTGACACATACGACCAACATACCTAGTTTTCCAAGTATATATACAACAAGTAGCTCCCTAACAAGTTATCTCAGTTTCCCCAACAACTTATCTTTGCTGAAGTGAGTCTTGAGTCTCTAACTCTATTAATTCTCTAAGCTAGGACCCTCTAAATTCTTATCTTCCTCTCTTGTCAATATACACACAGCAAAAGGTCCCCCAAGCCCTGACCTTCTCTCTGATATGTCCCTCAAAGCAATCCTCAAGTCACTATTTCCCCTGCTGTATGTATGGCTTTGTCACTTCGTTCCTAACTCAACTTTCCTAACTGTTCCATCTTTATTCCTCTGTCAGCCTCCCTCATCCCCAAATCTCCCCTCCATCTTCCTTAAATACGTATCTGACATGTAGCTTGTTTGCTTAAAACACAGAAAATAACACCTAAATCCCTCGGTATAGCATACGAGCTCTGCAGTGTACCAATCTAGCATGCTACTTGCCTCTTCTGGTGGAACAAGAGCACATCACATATGGACAACAGCAGTGGTTAAATAAGGGTAGAGAGCCCTGTGAGAGGACAGAGGAACACACCTGACTCACACTGGAGGAGCCAGGAAGGACCTGGCTAGAGAAGGGCACAGGAACTGAATTCTGAAGAACAAGGTAGCCAGAGTTATTTAACTTTGGTAGAGTAATGACATACTACCTTGAAGAACGCAGATGGCATGCTGGCATCAGTACTGAACTGGGAACCTAGAGTCACAGGCTTTACCCCAATGTCTAACACTCACCACTCTGGACCTCAACTGCTCAGTGAAATGAGAGGGTTGAATTAGATCATCAAAAATCTTTCGCCTCTGAAGCTCTACAGCTGCATGTAAGCTCTATACCTTACAGGCTGTAAATGTATAACCCAGAAGAAAATGTGAAAGCAACACACCTGACATCCTTCTCAGGGTTAATATTCTTCTCCTTCATTATACCTTCAACACATTTGTCCACTTCATCCTCAACAACTCGTGTTGCTTTCTGTAAAACCTATTATTATGGAAGAAAGCTGAATGAGAAAAAAATCCCTGATAGTTGAAAAAGAATTACATTTTTGAGGCATTTAATCAACTTTACAAAGCAGATATTCAATTTTAAAAGGAAACCAAATTTGTTGCACATCTTCTCCACAGCTAAAAATCACCCCCTCACCCCCCCACACACCTTTGAGACAAAGTTTGTTTGCTAGGTAGTTCAGGCAGGCCTAGAACTCATAATATTTCTGCCTCTGTCTCAGAATGGTAGGATTAGAGGTATGTGTCACTCTGCTCAGCTTTTTGTTTTTATTGTTTTTAATAAAAGAAAAGCAGAAATAGGAGCTGGGAGCTGTTTTCTTGCCCCATGTGGATGGCCTGTTATTTCAGAATCATTTGTTGAACTTTCTTCTCTCCTTGTAGAATTTCTTTCACAACCTGGTAAAAATTACATGTCCTTTTATGTTTCTGGTCTCTCATCTACTGCAATCATATCTATTTATCTAGAAAGTCTTTAAGTTAGGTAATGTAAATCTTAGTTCTTTTAGATTATTCAGGCTACTCTGTGTCCCTTCCATTTCTATATAAACTTAGAATATGCATGTCACTCTATTCAAAATAGCTTGCTGGGATAATGACTGGAACTGCACTGAACCCATAGGTCAATTGGAGAAATGACATCTTCATAATTCTGAATCTTCCAATCAATGAATATAGTTTATCTTTCCATTTTACTTTTTCTCAAAAACATCCTCCAAAAGTTTTAGTGTAGCTGGGGGTATGGCTCAGTAGTATAGTGCCTGCCTAGATAGCACAAGGCCCTGAGTTCAAACGCCAAATACAACACACATACACACAAATAGTTTAGTGCAGAAAACTTATTTATCTTTTACAGGGATAAATGGAATCCTAAATAATTTGTTTCTGGATGCTACTGTAAGTGGCATTCTTCTTGTCCAAAAGCTTGTTGCTAATAGAATATGCTCTGCTCTGTGATTGTTAAATTCATTTATCAGTAAGGCCAGTAGTTTCCGTAGACTCCTTAGGATTTTCCAGACTCACAAATTGTGTCACGCATTAATGAAATAGTGTTACTTCTTGCTATCCAATTGCATCTCAGACTTGTTTTTCTTGTTAATGCATTGCCAGGGCCTCCTGCACAATGCTGAATAAAACTAGATTGAACATACTTGCCCCTAAAGCAAATGTGGTGAGCATCCAGTATTTCAGCGTTTCTGTCATGCTTTCTGTAGGTTTTTCATAGGTAGCCTTGAATAGCTTGAGGAAGTTTTCACTATCCTAGGTACTTGAGAGTTTTTAATCATGAGTATTGAATTCTGTCAACAGTTTTACAGTAATTATTGAAATGATTGTATTTTTCTAATTTACTCTTTTGATGTGGTAAATTACACTCATGAAGGAAACGGAACTGTGATTTTCATTTATTATATTTGTCTGAATGGTTCTTGTCTCCACTATGGTAACCCCAAACACTCTAGTCCACGTATGCACTTCCTTCTCTAAACTCCTACTTATAATTACACTCAATACCAGTCTTTCTTTTGCATGTACCAAAAACCTTGGTGGAATGTTGAATACATGGTAGTCATTCAAATCCTTGGTTAAGGAACTGACAATTACTTGGGTTCTTTAAAACTGAGATTCTTATGTTCTGCTCACTTAAGCTTGGCATAATTTTTCCAAGACCAAAGATGCTGTGACAAGCAAGTATAGTTGTTAGTAACTACAATGATATGAAGTTGTCAATTTCAGTACTTTTTCAAGTGAATTAGCAAATGAAAGAAATGCTAGAAGGATATTTCTGGAAAAACAGTATTTTCTCACTACTCTTTATTCTTTCATATTTCCCTTCAATATTCAGAGTTCTTAGCATATTCTAAGCACTGTGTCAGGTACTAGGGATACATAGGTGGACAACAACAAAAATGAAAACCACCAGGTTTTGTTCCTTTCTTCTGGGCAGGAGAAAAGTAAATACATGGGAAAACAAAAAAGTTAAATATGGTGAAACAATTAAGGAAAGAGGATAGGAGAGTCAAGCGGTATCATTTTAAGGAGAGGGTGGTCAGAGTGCTCACGGTTGAAGGTTATAAATGAGTGACCTGAGGATGAGGAAGCGAGTTAAGCCTTTAATTGCATGAAGAACCTTCCAGTTCAACAGAAGTAGCACAAAGCCCTAAGGCAGGCTGGTGCTAGCGTGTCTGGAAACTAAGCAGCACTGAGCTGAAGAGGACCAGTGAGCCAGGCAAGAGCAGCAGTAGACTCGGAGCAGAGTAGAGGAGCTAACAAGGGTTCCAGCTGACAGAGGTAGTAGTGTGTGTACATCTCCAGGCAGAAAGGTATGGAAGTATCTGAAGGGACACACTCCTGGGGACTGTGCATGTAGAAAAAAGAACTTCGTTTACGTTTTACTCTCATCGCAGTTTCAAAGCTACAAGAGAGCACATTTCACAGGACAATTCTCCCTAGAGTTCAGCGCCCAAATAGTTTCAAGTTTGTGACATTCTGAAGCACGGTTTCCTTGTGGCCAGTTTAGAAAGCGCACATGCCTCGCGTAGAGCGAAGTGAGAGCAGCCACCACGAAGAGCAGCCCCAGACCAGTGCCCAAGCACCAGGAGGAGCAGCAGCAGCACCTGGGCACAGCTCAGAAACCAAGCCAGCATTCAACCGGAAATCTTGGGGGTGGGGCCTGGGAATCTGTTTTAGCAACTCCAGAAGATTCTTGTGCTTGCTCAAGTTTGAGAACTGCTGAACTGGATCTGAAATACAGCACTTGTCCAAGTGCTGGGATTTATATCATTCCTTGGAGAAATGGCACCACGAGTTTCAATGAAAGAAATTATGTGGGTGGACAAGGAATAAGCACATTTTTTGAACCAGAAACATGGTAGCTTTCTAGACTCCTAAGCATTTGGGGTCTAGAAAGCCCCATTAAGATTCTAAACAAAAGAGGACTTCAGACTCTAGGCAAAATTAACAGGACATATTATTCAAAGACCTTCTTTGTACATGAGAAACACACACAAAAAAAGAATTATTACTTGAAAAGAGGGAAAATTTCACTCAATATTCTTTACAGCAAAGATACTAGCAGGACACTAAAAATAATTCTAAAATTGAAACATTCTTTTTAAAGAAAAAAATATACTGAGTTTTCTAGAATTACCACCTTAATATCATCTTACCTTATTCTTGGAATATGTCAAGGAATTTTCTGAAAAAAAAAATAGAATGTTACCACTTACATGCATTTTCTGAATTATTTCATAGACAAGTAGTAAAAATATCAAACAACTAGTAAGTTACTTTCACAATTGAAGAAGATACTATTTCTTCATGGAAAGTATTGCAAACATTTAACGGTTTTTATAGAGAAGAAGATATCTATCATTCAAAAGATTTCAAACAAACACAACATACCATGTCAAAAAGGTCCCCAGGATCTTCTGTTTCTGTGCAGACCCCAAAGTGTCAAATAGCTCAGGTCTGAGATACTTATGTGAAGACTACAGTGAATGGTCCCCTACATTCTCATTATCTCTTAGCCTTAAAGAGTGTTTAGATTCCAGTGCAAGCAAAGGAGAAGTGTAAGAACAAACGGGCAAAGACTTCAGGTTATCTGGCCAATTGTCCAGGAGCCAAAGAGCAATCCAGCTTCGCCATTCTTGGTTTCTGCTTCAAGAATGACAAGCACATTTTTATTAGTCTATTAAAAACTTGTCTGGCACATTTACTAATGGCCTCTCTTTTCTCAGCAATTAAAAAAATGCAAGAAAAATGCTTTTGCCATACAGTAAAGCCTCAGTGTATATTCTTCCCCCACACTATAAAACACCAACCAATACCGCTGCAGATTTCTTATCAAGCTGTACTTTGTTCTTCTGAGCAGTCAAAAGGGCAAATCAAAAGAGCAGGCAATAATTTAAGTCAGCCCTAAATTGTAAGAGAACTGGGAAACTAATTAAACTTCAATCATTCAGCAGCTCTAAGGCAGCTTCTGTCATTCCTCCAATATCGCCTTGGATAAGGGTTCCCTTTGCCAACACCCACTCCCCCAGCCTCAAGCACTCTTGATCAGCACTAAAAAGGATCTGGTTAATTCAGCATTTTCCATTTAACACAGCATCTTTAGTGGCAGCCATTCCCAGGTCTTCTCACCCTGGCTACAAAGTAACGGCAAGCCATACCTCCCACTTATCTGTGCTCTAAATTTAGAGCATAAGCACTGAAAAACTGGTATATTTTAAAAGGTAAGAGAACAAACACATAATGACAGCCAAAATGTGACTTAAATGAGTACTATAAAGTTTTCTATAGCAGCATTAGAGTTAAAAAAAGATAAATTTTAATGTATTCTAACTTAATTGATCCAAAATATTATCACCTATGAATATGAACATGCAGTGAATGTGAACAATGATTAGTAAGACATTTTTACATTCCTTTTTCCTATAAACACTTGGAAATGCAGTGTGTATTTGACAGGTACAGCACATCTCAATTCAGATCAGTCACATTTCAGGAGTTTAATAATCAGTGTGGCTGCTGGCTCTGGTGCTGAAGTGAGATTCTGATCTCAATCTTTCAAGGAGACACTAAGCACCTAATAACTACCCTTTTGTAAATAAGAGTAAAAAATTAAAAGAGTGCTGAATGATGCTAAGTATAAAAATGGATCTAGACTGATCCATTGGTACTTATTCTTTCCATCATTCATTTGTATAAAGAGCTTCAAAGGGATTATAGAACTATAGAAAGTTTTCCATAAATAGGTACACCTATATAATCAAAGAACTACTGATAAATTTAAGGAGCCAGATTAGATCACTCTTTGTACAGATGTGGAATTAATTAGTTTCCTTTTCTATAAAGCAATCCAATTTTTAAGTTGAAAAAAATCAAAGAGATAAACAAAGATTATGGAACAGGTTTAAGAGACTTGTTCGGAATATGTAAGGAACATATCATCACTATGAGTAAGTGAGAAAAAAAAGAGTTAAATTTTTATCAGTTTTTAATATTTTTTGAATAACATTACCAATCCTGTGTGTCCTCTGTGCACCTACATAGGTATCAAAAATGCGCTGCAATTCACATTTTCCAGTCATCTGTCGTAAGAGCCATTTCATCCAAAAACGAAAAAAGTGCCCATAGAAGAACTCCCACAGAGAAATAAACATCTTTTCCTGGAGAAGGAAATATGTAAGACAAGCTTAATGACCTTACATCTAATTTTAAAACGGAAAAAAAAACTTATCTACTCACCAAATCTCAAATTATCTTTTTTTTTTTTGGTGAGACTGGGGTTTGAGCTCTACCATTTGATCCACACCTTCAGTCCCCAAGTCTAAAATTATGTTATCTATTAACCCATTATGTCTATTTTGTGATTGTGTTTACTGACACCTGGCCAATTTATCCCTTTTAACTGTAAAAATCCAAAGAACTTAGCCAAGCTATTTAATGGCTTAAAAGAATGCTAGAATGGTTTTCATTTTGCCAAATAATGATATTCATGTTAGCTTCCTACTTTAACTTCCCTGAGAATTGGGAGTAAACAGTTTACGAACAAGAGGATCTCAACTAAGCAACAATACACCCAACCCCAGGACCGTTTTTGTAAAAATAAACTCCTCTTCGCCCCTCCGGGTGACCTGTGACAGCTGTGCCACAGTCAGCTGATGCCAGCAAGCAAAACCAATACAAATGGCTTACAAATCGATGTAACCACGCTGCAAACAGAGTAGCTCACATCCTGGCGAATTCATGATTGTCCCTTCAACAGGTGAAAGGTGGAAATACTGAGAGGTTAAAACAAAAGAAAAGCCCTAAACCTACAGGCTCGAGAGCTAAATCTGGATCTCGTAAGAAAACTCTTCGGGAGGGGAGAGATGCAAGTGCGGGGGGCAGACACAGTGCTCGCTGACCACCCCCACTTCCAGATGCCCCGCGCCGGGGCCTGGGGACCTGTCACTTCGAAGTCCCCGGGCGGACGGGCTCCTTAGGACAAAGGCAGCTCGGCGCGGGCCGCGCGGCCCCGGCGGCGCCCAGGCCTCGGGGCGTCGCTGCGCGAGTCGAGCCGCTCGCGCGCTGCCCGGGAATGGGAGCGAACGGTTCGCACAAAGCCCCGCCGGCCCGGGCATCCGGGGGACTCTCCGCAGGACGCCACGCGCCCTCGGCGCAGCCGCACGAAAGCAGCGCGGGACGAGAGAAAAGAAAACAGCAGCCACCTCTCAGGAGCGGAAGAACTAAGGGGAAAGCAGAAGCTGCCTCGGTTTCCCCAACTGCAAACAGCCGGCAACGGAAACGACCCTGTTCGCGGAGAGCTCCCTGCAAACACCGCGACCCGGAAGTCAGGAGGGGAGGTTGCGGGACCGCCTTCCCGGGACTTCGCGGGCCCCGCCCCTCCTGCCTCTTCTGATTGGCCCGCGCTCCGCCTATTGCAAACGCTGAAGGAGGGGCGAGCAGAGTGGCCCGAGTGCGCGTGCTCAAGTCTCCAGACGCCCCGAGGGTTTCCCCGGCAACGACGGCGGGGAGCCACGCCCAGCGCCAGCGTGGTCCTCTGAGGCTGCTCTGGAGGCGTCTCACTTTGAATGTTGCAACGCGTCGCGACCGTGTACTTCCAGGCTCCGAGCCCAGAAGCAGCGGTGTGCTTTTGGTAATCCTCCATCGGCAAGGTTCCAAAAGCACTGTGACTTGCATTCGATCTTAAGTCAGTCTCACTTTATGGATGACGAAAAGGAACTTGAGTCAAGAGCCCTGCATGCTGAGAAAAAAAGTGTGGACTTTTTCCTGTAATAATAAAATAGTCTAACACTTAATTCGTCAAGCGTTCCTTCCTCAATTGTTCACTTTTGATTTAAGAACTAAATTATGCATATGAATTTTGGGGTGGGTGTCGTTACTGGAGTTTGAACTCAGGGCCTCATGCTTGCTGGTTGGGTACTCTTAGCACTTGAGTCACTCCACCAGCCTTTTGTGTGGTAGGTTTTTTCGAGATAGGGTCTCGTAAACTATTTGTCCGGGCTGGCATCAATCTGCGATCCTCCTGATTTCTGCCTCCTGAGTACCTAGGACTACATGCATGAGCCACCAGTATCCAGAGATTTTCTTTTTAGAAGGAAAAATCTCTGAAGATAGATTCATTAATTCAATAAATAGTTGTTGATCACCAATTATGCACCGCCAACAGGCAAGTATTTAGCATGTCGGGTGATGCTAGATATTAAGGGCATTAGGGAATATTAGGTAAAGAGCATTAGGGAGAGTGAGGGAAATCATTACATACAGTGTAATCAAAAAGTCAAAGTAACCATGTGACACTGACCCCAAATGATGGCAGTGTATCTGGAAGACGAGTTTTCTCAGGCAGCAGAATGGCAACTGTGAAGGCCTTGAATTGGGAGCATAGTCAAAATGTCAGAGGAACAGGAAGAGGGCCAATGTGACTGGAGAAGAAAGACCAAGGTAGAGAGGAGAGAAAACTCTGAGTACAAAAGACAATGTGTATCAAAAAATAACATCCCCCCAAAAGCCGCTCATACCCACTCACCCAAGACTCCTCCCTTGCTCAGCAGTGTTAGTTTCTTGTTTTTTCTTGCTTAAACTTCCAGAAATATTCTATGGAGGGTATAAATATGTATATATATATATTTTTTTATATATTTATATATATTTTATATATTTATATTTTATAAATTTATTAAGTTTTTATTTATTTTATTAAATTTATATTTATATATAAATGTGTATATTTATATATGGGGGTATAAATATGTATATTTCCTCTGTCTCCTTGTTTGCACAAATTGAAGCAAGCAATACACCCTTTTCCATATCTCAGCCAGTATTTAAAAAACAGAAACTAGGGTCTGGTAGAATGGCTCATGCAGTAAAAGCGCCTGCCTAGGAAGCATGAGGCCCTGAGTTCAAACCCCCGTGTCACAAAAAAAAGTATAAAAACAGAAACTACTTGTTGAACCCTAGCCAGGTGAAGGACACGTGACTCAGAGGACACACTTGCCCCATAGAAGCAACCAACACTGAAGCTGGTAATGAAGTCTGGAATTATACAGTAACAGTAAAATTATAGAATCTTGGGTCCTGAAGGTAACTTAGAAATTATCTAATTAGATATTTTTATTGCAGATTAGAAGATTCAGAAAGGGGAAGGACACAGCCAATTTAGCAAATTAAGAAATACAAACTATTTACTATTTCTGGAGTCTCTTCATTGATACATATGATTTATACAATAAAAAGTGAAATAATTCTATATCCAATCCTTTTGTCCTTCCAGAGTGCTATAGTGAGTGCAGGCAGGGCAGAAAGGAACTCTGTCCTCTGTCTCTCTGTTGTCTGTTGGTCTACTTTCATCCTCGTTTTTCCCCAAGAGAAAGCAACGCTAATCTGCTTAGTCAGAACTTGAGAAGTTTGTTGAACAGCTTTTGTTGGAAGCAGAGACATTGCACATTTCAACTAATTCACTTGCTGGTACTTATATTAAACCAATACCTGTCCCTCAAGGAAAATCAGTTCTTTCTTTCCTTTTTTCTTTTCTTTCTTTCTTTCTTCGTTTCTTCTTCTTCTCTCTCTCTCTCTCTCTCTCTCTGTCTGTCTTTCTCTCTTTCTCTCCCCATCCCTCCCCCCTCTCTCTCTTTCTTCCTTTCCCTTCCTTCAATATTCTCTTTGGTTTCCTTCTTCCATGTGGCTAGTTAAGGACTGATGAAATCCTAAGATTAAGATTCTGGCTTATTGGAGAAGGTGACCTTCTTCATCTAAGTGTCTAGGTCTCTCCACTCACTTTGTTCCTCTCCCTCACCTTTGTCAGATACCTGCATGGAAAACAAAGGTTAGAGTTGATGGGTTATGGTGTATGTTTTAGTAGTACAAAGAAAACTGCTTTCTTGAAATTAAACAACCATGGGGCTGTTGATTTTAGAAATTGCTGCATGAAAAGAGTTATCTGGAATGACTACCAATCAATCACTTATTGTAGAGTCCAGCATTTGATGTACAGAGGACCCAGATTAAATTTCAGTGTTCCTTTGGAGTGTGAGAACTCTGGACTGCATCAAATTTATCCTGAGAAGAAAAATGTTATACAGTTGTCCCCAGCATTCATGAGGGAGTAGATCCAGAACCTCCTCTCATATAAAAATCCACGATGCTCAAGTCCTTATATAAAATACTGTAGTGTTTGCATATAATGTCAGTATTTTAAATCATCTCAATATTTATAAGTAATATAGTGGAAGTGGTATTAAATAGTGAAAAAGTAGCATAATACAAGCAGGAGAATGAAATGATAGTATGAAGTATGAAAACGGAAGTTTAGACCACACAGAAAAGTTATAGTGCATAGCACCAGAATCACTATGAAACTGCAGATGAAGAAATAAGAAAGAAAAAAATCTAATTCTTGCTTTTACCTGAATACATGATAAAGGACCTTGTCATTACCAACTTAAGTCAAATGTCTTTAAGAGACAAATAAGTATGCCTTTCATACAGTTTTAAATTAGACATGCAAAATGGAAGCCCTGAGACTTGCTCAAATGCCCTTTTAGAGTAGATATTAGCAGTGTGGGACACAGGAAATGTTGTATTTCACTAAGAAACAGTGGGAGCAGAAATGCTAATCTCTACTAAGGCTTTCTGTTAATCCTGTGTGGCCTTCTTTCAGAGATAACGCTTAAGAATCATGACTTAACCAAGTGTCTGTTGTGCCAGACCTTGTACAAGTTGCACAAGCGGTCCAGCAAACTAAATGTGACTGTATCTTCATGGTAGAATAGGCTAATGCTTTCTCTGATTTCACTCAGAAGAGTCAAGCATGGTTTGCTTGTACATGAGAAGAAATGTAATGTATGTCTGTGGTCCTTCTCCCAAGGATATCTGACCTCTCCAACTCACTGCCACAATTTGGTGTGATTGGATTTAGACATGCTTACTATAAAAATCAAGTTAATTCATTATAATGATGATGTCTTTCCCCTTGCCAGGAGAAACGCAGAAAGATTTGAGAGCGATGGTGGCAAAATGACTAGCCAAATGATTAATCAATCCAGCTAAGATTCAGAACTGACCCAATTAGTAAAATGCCTAAAAATAACTTTGGACCACCAGAGATATTTTATAAACGATAAACAATAAATTACACTTCCTCCAGCACCCTGTCGATGAAAAAGAGGCACAACACCTAAGGAGCTATTTAGTAAGCTGTGAGAAATATATAATAGTAACGACCCAAGCGTGTTACTGGGAAGCTAGGATTCCCCTACAATTCAAATAATCTTGGACGTTTCTGACCCCAGAATACATGCAAATTAGACGCTTTGTCTGAAACACAATACTGCCACCTTGTGGCTACCACTGGGATCTTTGTACTTCAATAGTGCCTGATGTTGGGGCGGAAATTATTTGCCAGCTTGCTGTTGGGCTTTCCTCCAGGAAAGTCATCAAATTACATAAAGACGTGAACTACCTGTTATAACACTGGTAATATCAGAAAGAGGTTACAATAAGAGAAAGCTACAAAATTCTTTTAAAAAATTCATGTCAAGAGCAGTGTCTCTGGAGAGTTAAACCTCTAGACTCTATCCACCAAAATAGAATGAGTTTCTGGTTTATGCATAAAAATTCCTACTTAGCCAGGACACCAGTATAAAAGTCTGCTCCTATTGTCCCAATGATCAATGGCAACCCAGATAATGCAAAATCAAGCTCATGGAATAGGTTGAACGGAGAGCAGTGTGCATGGCAGTGAAGCAAGAACTTATTTCATTACTTTGGGAAATGTTTGGAAATTTACAGGAATCATGGACAGTAACTGAATGCTTGCCTTCATGGTTGAGAGCATGATCATCTTGATGAGTTAACGTCAGGAATACCCCGCTGCTGAAGATGTACTTGTGGAAGGCCCAGTAAGATTTCTGGGAGACTGATAGGAGGCCACATAGATGCCCACAATAGGAATCCAACTGTTTCAAAAGGTAAATAAAATGCCAATGTATGAGCAGCTATCCCCTTGAAGTGGCTTATTTCATCTTGGGCAAAACTGGAGCTGCAAACACTGTCAAAGTCTTAAAACAATGCACTACGTAACAACGTGGTTCCCAATCATACATTTCACTGGATCAAAGGATGTATTCTACATAACCAGTGTGCAGAGCTAGCTACCCTCTGCCCAAAGCATCCCAACCTAATATAGGTGCATCATATTTTTCCTGGGAAATAGGTACTAGGTAGCTGTCAAATTGGTACTAGAATGAAAAGTGCAGTATAGGAGAAGAAGGTCCAGCTGACTCAATTGGGTGAATGTGTGTTTTGTCCAAATGCGAGGGCTGGTAAAGGAGCATTTTTTAAAAGGCTGTTGGGTGCTGGGAGTAGGAATGAAGAGGTAGAGGATGATGCTCTGATACAACTTTCTCTTTCCCACCATAAAAACTTCAATTTGATCTAGTGTTTAAGGGATTGATGTGCATTGGTGACCCAATAGAAGGGAAAACTGCTGCCTAATACATGACTTCTATTCCTTTAAACACAAATGTGCATTTTCTAGGAAAGCCCTGTGTGGAACAGTGATTTCGTATCATATGACCAAATTAGAATTAACTATTAACCCACCCATTTTCCCCACCCGCTCCATGTAATGGGAACATATTGTACTTGACCTTGGCAACTCTACCACTGCTTGCTGAGAAGGGACAATAGACGAGGCCCTGGAAAGTTTCCTACTGTGCCTTCTTCATGAGTTCACAGTAAGACTAAACCAGAAATCCCTGCCTGGGAAACCAAGTCTGTATTCTCTCCAGTAATAAATAGAAAAGAGGTTACATATTAAAGTCAGAAAAAAACAAAACAAGTGAAGGATATCAGAAGGAGGAGGAGGAGAGAAGAAGAAGAAGAAGAAGAAGAAGAAGAAGAAGAAGAAGAAGAAGAAGAAGAAGAAGAAGAAGAAGAAGAAGAAGAAATAATAATACTATGTTAAATGTAACTATCCCTTGGAAGGCATTCTGGTTTCAGAAAGAGTAAAATGTGAGAGCAAAGGGCAAGGAATTTGTGCTGCAAATGTACTAGTGCTTACATTAGGACAGGAATTATGTCAAATTATTCTGAATGCTATTTTACTTAAACTCAACAATCTTGGACAGGTGTTATTCAGCTCATCTTACTGGTGATGAACCCAAGCTTGGAGAGAATTGAAAACTTTCCCAACATTACATGGCTGCTAAAGACAGACATTGTTTATTCTCAAACCCGTTATTTAAAAAGTTGCATATTTAATTTGCATATTGTATTTTCCTTTTTAATAATACTGCACAGCCTCCAGATTCTTCTATTTATTAATGCCAAAAGCTAGTAATTCACTTATTTGGAAGAACAGGAAGGTTTTTGTCGTTCTTGGTGGGGGTGATTGTGGTGCTGGGGATGGAACACAGTGCCTCACACAGAGTTAAATGTCTTGAGAAACACATTTTGATTTTGGTTAAGGTGATGTGGCAGAGAAGGACAGCTGACAACGGAAGGCTTCTAATCTCCCATTGGCACCGGTGTTGATGGAAGCAGCCGCCAGTCAGCAATAACGCCTTTCGGTTCTTTTGCCTCAAGTGCTCAATGATAGAATTTGAATGGGAATATGTCATGTCAGCTCTGATCATTTCTCCTCCACACGCTTATCCCCACCTCCAGTGGAATGGGGAAGGCTGAAAAACCCTAGAGAGAGGAACCACAGAACGGGGGGGGGGGGCCAGGACTCCAAAAGAGCACATGAGCAGTTGCCAACCAATTGGAAACTCTAGAGTAGACAACTTGAGGCAGAGAACTTCTATTCTATTAAGCTACAGAGGGGTGGGAGTTTATTTGTTCTTGGAGCCATTATTACTGTAACTAATCAGTTGTAAAAATGTGTTTAAATCAAAGTTATGAAGCAAATAAGTGGTGAATATGAAGAAAGCAGATTCATTTGGATTTGTGGCTTGGATTCATTATAAGGATTTGTAACAAAGGTGCAAAGATTTGACTTGTAATGACAGAAGGTTTGTAATGAAATGCTAAAATGTACAGAAACTTATAAAAAGCAGTAAACTTGCCTTTCTATCTTTTAGATCTAAAAGTATCAGTACCATTCAAAGTTGTCTGTATTTATAGCTGCAGTCTCAAAGTTTGTCATGCAAAGTCTCACTGGTTTCAGTCAATTAATTATTCTTCTGTGCTTAGCATTTGGTCTTTGTAAGTTTTCAATGCATTGAGCTGTGTAGATAAATTAAGCCACTAGCTGTTCTTCCATTTCCTTTCCAAATTTTCTCCCTCTGACACCAAGGAAAATCGTCCAATACTCAGAAGCAGCTAGAACTCAATTTAAAAAGAGTTAATAGCTAGAAGCTCTGAGTTACTAAATTATTTTTCCTTATCTTAGCAGATCAAAGCAATACTAGACTTTCCTTTTGTGGGGCATATGTATTTGTCTGACTGAGCCTATTTACACTGAGGTTTTCTTCATATGTACAGTAGTAGCCTTGTAAACCTTAAAGATAATTATACCTCCTAAAATTTTGTTTGGCTCCTGTTATTTTCATTGAGCCTACCTGCAAGGTTTATGCATGCAGGCTCTTTCAATAATTTATTGCTCAATGGAAAGGATTAGTTCTCTTCAAAAATTTTATCTTTTTACTTTATTCTAATAGATAAACAGTGATTGTATACATGGATGAATATGACGGGATCTCTGATACATGTCAGTAATATAGAGTGATTAAGACAGGCTAATTAATATAGTCCTTACCTTTCAAATCTATCCTTTCTTCGTGAGGAGAACATTTCAAATCCACTCCTTTGAACTATGCAGTATTTTAACAGGGCCACCATGCTGTGCAAGAGACCACCAGAGCTATTCCTCCTGTCTGATGGATACTTTGGTTAGGGAGTTGTTCTGCTGTTTCCCCTGCTCCCTGGTAGACACAGGCCACCCAGCTCCTGCCCACAACCAGCTCAACAGCATGCCACAAAGGGACAGTGAGCCCTCTTTCCCAGGCACTTGTGCACAAGCATCTTTACCCAGCCCCTCTTACCCTTCGATGCTAATGTGTACAAGCACATTTCTGAGGATGGCTATCAATAATTCAATCTACTTTCAATATAGTTCTCCCTCAACTGTGAGGGGCTCAACTTAGGATCATTTGGGGGTGCCCCTGACCCTCAGAGTATAAAAATATCCCAACAAAATGAAAGGTAGTGGTCCCACATACTAAAGGAACTCAAAGAAGGGAAAATCAGAGTGGTCTGCTGTTGTCAGCTTTGGATTTGTGAAACATAAAATATGAGACCCTGAGATACAGAAAAGATTTGAGTTGGCCAGAGGGGATCCTGGATGTGGTGTACGGAGGGAGGACACGGAGAGAAAAGGCAGAGAGAGGAAAGTGAACAAGACACACTTAGGGTACAATTAAAGGGTCTAGTAGCCCCTAGAGGCATAGAAGGGAGCTTGCTCATGGAAAAGCACAGGGAGGCCTGCTGGAGTGGACTTTATCACCCTGGAAGAGAGGAGCTTCTTGAGCAGGAGGAACAAGGACTGTGGTGCATTAGGAAGATCACTGAGGAGTTGGGTGAAGGGTGGCCCGCAGAGGGTGGATGCCATGTTAATTGTTTGGGTGCTGGGGATTTCATAGCAGCGGAAATGCAAGTCTGGAAACAGGCATTTCAAAGAAGTAAAGATTTTATAAATGATGGGATACATAAAAGAGTCAAATTGGTCTGGTGATTTGATCAAAGCAAGGGGTCTGGAAAGATAGCTTGCCAGGTGGGGGTTTGAACACCTTGAATTTGAAAGGGTCATGCAAGCAAGAGTGCTGCTGACCTCTCACTAGAGGACAAAGTCCAGTGGAGATTGCTTTCTGCTGGGTGCTTCCTTCTCCCACCCAACCCATGCTAGGCCTTTCTCTGCTGCTCCACACCCGGGAGGCAGGTTGCTCATGACCCAGAGCATCAACCGAACCTCCCTGCCTTGTGGCTTCCAGCAGAGCTTAGTTAGCAAATGCCAGCACGGTCAGGCAAGTGACCTACAGGATGGGGAGCATGAAGTTCAAGTGCTTCTTTCTCCTCTTCCCTCCTGTAGGATCCACAATTCCTGGCATTTAGACTTACAAGGGCATTCTCAGGCAGGCCTGTGTTCGAATCTTACTTCCCTCCCAAGAGGTCAGAAACCAGTCCAGCTGATGCCAGAGATGGCTCATCCCCAGACACGGCCAGCGAGTCGCTCAGAAGAGCGATCGGGGTGCACGATCCGCACAGGACACGGCTCCAGGGGCCCTGCCACGTTCCCTCGGGGTTTCCCAGGCCTGGGTAAAAGTCTGATGAACAGCGCGTTAGTGGGCGCCCACCGCGTGCGGGACACCAGCGGGGGCGCGGCGACCCGCGCGCAGGGCAGGAGCGCGCTCCACCTGTGCCCCGCACCGCCGCCCCGTCCACCGCGCTGCCCGCCGCCCGCCGCGGGGCCTCGGCCATGAGGTCCAAGCACGTGAACTTGCTGATCGCCCTGGTGGCCTTCATGCTCTTCGCCTTCTCCTGCTTCTGCATCTCCAGGATGACTCAGACCAGTAAGCAGGGGGCAGGGGAGGCGACGTGGGAACCTGGCATCTGCGTCGCGCCTTACAGATCGAGCGCTCAAACTGCTGTCCCACCGGCGGTTAGGGGGCAACGGGCGACCCTGACTCCAATGGGCGGCCGTGCCCGCGCCCCGCACGCGCGCTAACGGATCTGGCCCGCCGGGCCTCCTGGCCAGGCCGCAGGTGTCCCCTCTGCCCCTCCGAAGGTTCACGACCAGTCTGTGTCCCGCTGGCCTCCTATCCTGTTCTCCCCTCTGGCCTATCATGTCCAGACATTTGTGAATGTGGGACTTTAAGAACTCCTACACCGCCAACAGCGGTCCTTTTCCCTGTGCAGGTTACAATGGGCCGCAGTCCCAGCTGCCCCAAGTGGTTGTATTATTATTATTATTATTATTATTATTATTATTATCATTTTGTGTGTGTGTGTGTGAAGCTGAAAGGGGCACGATGATGACTTTTAGGGCCCTGGTCAGCACTTGAACTTTCTAAAGCACACCGAGGTTTTAATTTATCTCTATCAAAGTATCAACTTAACAAATGAAAGCTGCTTAGTTAAATTTGAATCTCAGATAAGCATTTTTTGTAGTACACAAATTGCATGGGACATACTTATTGTGCAGTTTTGTCTCTTGCTATCTGAAACTGAAGTGTCCTGTATTTTTCTTTCAACCTACAAGTCCCTAGTGTGACCACCCTAGAGGTTCAATTATATAGTGGAAATTTTTAATTGAGGATTTAGAAGTACTGTAAATTATTAATTCAGGCTTCCAAGAATTCTGTTGGGTTGTTTTTAAGTTAAAATTTTCATTTTTCTTTATTTATTTAGACAGGGTCTTGCTTTGTAGCCCAGGCTGGCAGCAAACTCACAACCTCCTGCCTCAGCCTCCTTAGTGTTGAGATTACAGACATGAACCACAGCATCCAGTCTTTTTTTTTTTTTTTTTTTTTCTCAGTAGTACTGGGACAGGACCTCAAGCTTGCTAGGCAGGTGTTCTAACACTTGAGCCATGCCCTCAACACTTTTTGATTTAGTTATTCTTCTCATGGGAACTCCTGTTTTCACCTAGGCTGGCCTGGACCTCAAGCTCCTTATTTTTACTTCTTTAGTAGCTGGTCTGATAAGTGTGTGCTTCTATTTTCAGCTTTTTATTGGTTAAGATGGGTCTCAGCAACTTTTTTTCTGGGCTGGCCGAGAAATTTCTGGCCATGATCCTCCTAATTTCCATCTCTTGAGATTACAGGCTGTGAGCCTCCCCACTGTGCCTCATTTTTCTTATTGAATGCTTTCTGAGATGGGGCATCCCAGGTATTCTTAGCAGCAATGCTGAAGTTGGAGTTTGGAAGTGGTTTTGTGTTTGAGTCTTCTAGTTGATACTACATTTTGTCTTCAGGTACACAAAACACCTTACATCCCATCCATTTATCTGATAAGATTTCTACTAATCTTTGTTATTACACCCTGTTCCTCTTCTGCATTTTCTATAAAGAACATTATTCAAATGTGGTTTTGTACATTTTAGAAAAACAATCAGTACATTTATTTAAAAATGGTTTCTTGTAACTAGAAAGCAAAATATAAACTTGATGGTAGTTTTGGAAGGTAATTTAGAACAGGAGCCTCCAGAGACACTTTAATGCAATTACTAGTCTTATGATGAAACTGTAGGCCTTGAGACATGCAAACATTTCGGTGTGTTTTGTAGCTGTGATGAGAAAAAACTTTGGTTCCTCGAGGTTCTTATATTCCTGTCACTCACATAGTCAAGTTCAGAAAGTGGGATATTCTTGAGAAGGAAGCACTCACAACAGCAGACAAATCAGAGTTTTCATTTTCTACATATGTGCTTCTGTGGAACCTATCTCTGAAATAACAAAGAAATCAGCCCTAAAATGAGATGTTTTTACTTCAACCAAAGAGAACACAGCATTGTTTAACTTCTGATGTGGGGCTTTATAAAAATGTTTTAAACATTTGACCTACAGTTTTAATTATTATCGGTAAGAATTTGGAACTGTTTTTAGAAATATAGCCTCTGTGTAGTGCCTATCCTTTCCTCCTTTTTAAAATTAATTAACTTTATGGGTAGATAACCCTTTGGCTTTTCTATAAATTCATAGTATTAATAATTCACTAATTTGTTTAAAAATATTTAAACTTCTGTGGACAAAGATTTTAATTCGGCCTGTTTTTTTCACTTGTGTCCCCAGCTTCTGGAAAAATAAGTGCTAAATATTTGTTGAAAAAGTGAATGATTGGAACCAGGCACTAGTGGCTCATGCCTGTAATTCTAGCTACTTGGGAGGCTGAGAACAGGAGGATCATAGTTACAGGCCTGCTAGGCAAAAAGTTTGACAGACCCCATCTCAATCAATAGCTGGTTACAATGGCATGTACCTGTCATTCTAGCTAAGGCAAGAAGCAGAAAATAGGCTGACCTGGGGGTGGGGGGTGGGAAATGAGACCATATCTCTAAAATAACCAGAGGGAAAAAGGTTATAAGCATGAGTCAAGAAGTAGAGCACCTACCTAGCAAGCATGAAGCCCTGAGTTTAAACCGCAGTACCACAAAAACAAGAATGAATGGGCAAATGAGAGAATGCACAAGTTTCTTACGTACCCCTTCCTTTTGTAGGTACTAGGTAAACGACAAAACCCCATGTTTTCACAGAGTTTACATTCTACTTGGCCAAACAAACAACCAGCATAAATGACATAGCTGCTGGATGGCAGGTGTTGGCAGAAAGATTCCCTGGGAAAGCTCTCTTTCAGCAAAGTCTTGGATGAAGTGAGTGTAGATGTTTGGGGGACAAACATCCCAGACAAAGGGAAAAGCATGTGCAAAGGTCCTCAGGTGGAATCATCTTGATTTGTTTGAGAAACAGTCAGGAGGTCAATGTGAAGCGGAAGGATGGCATTGTAGAGGCCACAATAGGTTGGACTCTGAGTAAGGACGCCATGGAAGGGTTTGGGGCAGAGAAGTGGCATGACCTCACATACACATTTAAATGATTTTTGGATGTGGGCCAGAAAAGAATCACAGAATGCTCCAAGAATTTTTGGCTTAAACTAGGATTTCTGAACCTCAGCACAAAGAGCCTTTTAGATCAGATAACTGGGAAGAAGGGCATGGAAGAAGGACGGTCCTGTACATTGTAGGACATTTGGCACCGGATGCCAGTTCCAACATCACCTCCCCAGCTGTGACAATCCATGTTTGAGAACCACTGGTTTCAACAGAAATGGAGTTGCTACTTACTGAAATGTGGCATCTGGAGAAGGAGCAGATTTGGGGGAAGGGGTCACATCAAAATTGGGCTGGGGGGAGAAATGGCCCAAACAATGTATGCACATATGAATAAACAAATAAAAAAATTTTTCTGTTGTGCATGAGGGACCTATTAGACATCCCAGTGAAAGTACCGCTATGTCAGTGTGAATTAGGACTGGCTGTACTAACTTGGGAACTGTCACCATGCAGTATTTAAAGTCATGACACTGGGCAAGATCACCTCGGGAAGAGATGAAAAGTTCCAAAGAGTCAGCCTTGGGGGAGTCCAATATTTCAAAGGCAAGAGAAAAGTGAAAAAAGTGGAAGAACTAAGCCAAGAAGGTGTTTCAAGGAGGAGGGTGCAACAGGTGCTGAGAGCTGGACTCAGTTCTCCAGTGAGGCACTAAAAAGCCATGACACCCACTGTCCTTGAAGTCATCACTCCAGAGTCACAGGCCAATGCGCAGCGTTGCGCCTCCAGGGCCTCAGATAGAGCAGGTGGTTCATCCAGTCAACCCTAATGTAGACAGTGTGTGGCCCATGCATATCACAGAGTTCCCCTACCCCATTTCCCACGGACTGTGTGGTAGGTTGTCTGCATTTCAGGTCCAGTAGGGCAGGTAACCAATCCTGGGATTTTCTTCTTTGCAAGTGTATTTCCTGGGTAAGGCAGCCACTCCAGGAGCCCCTGATCACCTGCTAGCTACCTCGCTCGGAAGGGTCAACACTTTTCTGCCACTGCTGTGCACACCTGCAGCTCACTTGGTACTACTGTTTCTCCTGCCTGAACACCTGACCCTCCTGCAAGGGCTGGCATTGGGCAGAAGGGCAACTCGGTTTCCACACACAGCTGCCTCCCATCGGCAGGGTGTGAGGACAGCACCTGCAAGGGGGCCTGGGGTGACTATCTGATTCCTAGTAATCACAAGAAAAAAGGGTTTAGAAGGGCACCTTCAAGAGTGTCAGCAGATAAAATATTTAGAAAGCTTAGGACCAATAAAAATTAAACAGCATACTGTATAGTGTTACATATAAATGTTGACTTAATGATATTCCTTTTTTTAGAGAATACTGTTTAACTCTACATAATGGCTTGTCACATACAGAACACAGGAATAGGTTAGACTTTGTCCTATAGCAAGCTCAAATTATGTCAAACAGATTCAATCATCTGCCACAGAGTGTTGCTTGCAAAGATAAAATGATATTCTACGAAGCAAAGGAATGGTGAGGAGACACAATTTAGGAGAGGGTGACATGAGATGGGTGGGAAAGGAATCCACTTGTTGGGATTCAAATATGAGCAACTTTTTCCTTTTTTTTTTTTGTTAATTGCTCATATGTGTCCTATTGGAGCTCCCTCATCTACTGAATCATAAAGGTTTACAGCAATTATAAAACTTAGTCCATGTCTTTTTGGGGCCACTTTTGTTTTTTGTTTTTTGTTTCTTCTCTTTTCCTTTTTGCTGCTGGGATCAAACCCAGGGCCCTGCACTTGCTATTCAAGTGCTCTACCACTAAGCCCTGGGATCACTTTTGGTTATTAAAGTCTTATTTGTGTTTTATGAAAGTACTGGGATTTGAACTCAGAGCTTTGTACTTGCTAAGCAGGTGCTCTATTGCTAGCCACGCTTCCAAGCCCTTTTTGCTCTGGTTATTTTGGAGACACTGTCTCACTTTTTCCTCAGGCTGGCCTGGTCCTTGATCCACCTATTTTAT